ACGTTATTGTATCATAGAACTAATTGAGAAAAATATTGAGACCAAAGTAAACGAGATTTAAGGTCGATTACGGTATTTGCAGTTCAATCGTCCAACCATTTCGACGAGCACTTCTTCTTCTTTATTGGCATTGACTATAGCCAAATCAATAATAGCTCCACTCATCCCTTTTTTTCGGAGTACGGAGGAAAGATCTTTCCCTACCACTGCTTCCACAAGCTGGTACTGGAGCGAACACTTTCCAAGCTGAAGTTCATTCATCCAACTATGTCAATATTATCGTATAACTTATATAGCCCATCGTTCCATCGTCTGCGATATTCGCCGATGCCAGTTTAGTTTTAGTTCGTCAAGAGAATACTTTACTTTTCAATTGTCTACCCAGTCCAAGCACCTGTAGACAAAAGTGATTACAAGATTGTCACTATTATTGGTGTTAATGGGGGTCCCTAGATAAACAAAATGGCGTGGCGGATGATATCGGCATACGCTAGTAGTTGTACAGTACCTTAAAATATTACACCTTGTCTATTTAGCTCTCAGCTCGTCATACTCACGCATGCATTTCGGCCTCTTGCTTTTTTTTACAATAGCGTTTTGCTTTCCTCTTCAGCTCTCGGTATCTTTCACTCAGCAGTCTGTTTTCTCTCCAGTGCATTTCGACATTCTGGCACTGCCGAAAAGCAATTGTTCCCATAGCAGCGCTACGTTGGGAGTTTGGGAGAGGTATCCTTGATCACATCGTCCTTCTTTTCCGCCAGTACTCGGTGATGGCAGCCTTTAATTTTATTAGAACATCGCAACTTAGCAACGGCACCTTACCAATTAAGGAACCAGACATCCCACCTCAAATCTTTATCCTTAAAACATTTGCTGGCCGTCATCAGGAGGGGTCTTTGATCCGAGGCATATTCTGATTTTTCATGGTAGTTTTTTTTTTTGAAGTGGGACCAAACCCTACGCATAACTCAGAGTATACTTGGATTTTACTTGCGAAAGTGAGGGTTGGGCTCATCTGTCCATTGGTGACTCATTTTGTGAGCACATTGAAGGAATAAAGCTCCAGAGGTTCATCACCGGATTAAAAGATATACACACAAATTGATAGACATGTGCTAACCCAAAACCACTTTTGCTGCCTCCTGCAATTAAATGCCCCATAATCTCGGTCTCGCAAATTGGTCTGTTGGTAAGTATGTAGATGAATACGAGCGAATACTAAATGTGGATACAAACGGCACGAACGGACGGCAACTGATGAGGATATCCAAGTCGTAGGTGAACTAACATGTAAAGTCGCAACAGAGAATGTGGCGGTGTTGCTCAAGTTCATAGGCGAGTGGAGTGTAGATTAGGTCATGATAGAAGTGGACTTAGCAATGATGGTCCCAGAAGTTAGTGAACCCATTTCACTAAAGTCAGTAGCAATTTTTTTGGCAAAGATTGATAGAGATTGTGGCACAAACAAATTGTGGGTTGTCATTAGTGAAATCCTGGCAAAGTCGCAAAGAATGAATGCGTCCTAGTCCGAGTATTCAATTAATTCAAAATTAAGTTCTCTAGAAGCAGACGCCATCATCAACAGCAAAAAATTATCTGAAGCCGACTCCGTATGGAAAAAAGACATATGGTAATAGGCGGAAGAGTTGGAAGGAAAGTACCAGCATAAAGCAAGTACCATCTCCGTAAATACTTAAATATATTCGACAATGATGGCAACAAACCAAGCTCCCCGAAGTGTCCCACTGGGCAATCGTGAAGCTGTCAGCCAAATAATAAAAGAAATTTGCGAAAGTTGTCAGTTGCGGTTTTGCATGAACTATCGAAGATTAAATGATGTTACCAAGAAAGGTAAGTATAATCTGTTGCTAATTATCAATGATACTCAAAACTCAGTGACTCGCACAGAATAGTTCTCTACACTTGACCCTAAGTAAGGAAGGTATAGAGAAGACAGCATTCAGTTCTGGAAACGATCTTCGGTAATTCACCATGATGCCCTTTGAATTATGGAATATTCCTGCTACCTTTAAAAGATTAATTGACCTTGCGTTCAAGAGACTACATGGAAAACATTATTAATTTATCTAGATGATACTATGATATAGGGTAAGAGCTTTGAGGAACACCTGAACAATTTGGAAGAAGTGTTTGTAAGGATAGCTGGTGCTGGTCTTAATCCTAGTCCTAAGGAGTGCTCGTTATTTAATAAGGAAATTAAGGTGCAGGGCTCACCATCAAAGAAACAACATATACGCGCGAAGCAGATCAAGCGCACATCGACAAAGTGAAGACAGAAGTAGTAGGTGTGACTCACCAGACAACAGGTGATCGTATACGCAGCAATCTGCTATCAGTGTTGAGGGCCTTAGGCCTCCTCTTGAGAAAAACATCGCCAACCAGAAGACATCAACTCCAGAACACGGGCAGCGAAAACGACAGAGCATCGAAGGCTAAGATCCCCACAAAGACTATATTCGCCTAGCTGAAATCAGAGGCAGGAAGAACGATGGACATAGGTATTGCAGGAAGGATAAGCAAAATCTCCTGGCAAGGAGGGAGACAAGCCCTCAAACACACCTAACGAAACACATCAGTAAAAAAACCGAGAACATAGATGGCGAAAAACCTCGCCTCCAAAGAATAGAATTTCCTTAGGAAAAAAACACATAGAAGACCTCGAGGATCGTAGGTCTCCGAACTAAGGCGCGCCGTCGGAACGACGATCGGAGAAGACATGGACACACTGAGCGGAGTCGTGAAATACCTAAGAAATCTAAAAGGTGGTATGAATCCAGAAGCAGCCCGAGTCCGAACGGAGGATATGGAAGCGTAAGCAAAAAAAAAAAACAGTAAGCGTACTAGTGAAATTCTTACATCGAATGTACAAAAACAATAGTTTCCGTGGCACATCGACCAAAGACTGCCACTACCGCAATATTAAGGGAATATTTTGCGGTTACAACAACAAAAAACAAAACATTAAACTTGTTCGAATTATAGGCAACGCAATATAGCGCAATTTTGTTTGAATGTATTAATTAAATGGAACTTTTATGGCGAATTCCACATGCTGGCACTTTTATTATTAATTTAATTCAATATTTTATTAACTTTTATTTTCTCTGCATTTTCAAAAGGCAAATGAAGTGGCGTGTAAATGGTGTAATTAGCATTCGTTATTTAGATGACGAACAATAATGTTGCGAAAATGCGAGGCGAATGTCAGATGAAAGAGAGAAGCCGATAACTAGTACGTTCTAAATGAGAAACTTCGATAGCGAACAACTCGATTATTATACACTTTCGTCTGCGAGCAGCCGACTGCTATATAAGGGCGACACTCAGCTGCCAAGAAGTCAGTTACAAAGTGAGCTCGTTGGCGTTAACAACAGCAAAGTCGTAAAGTAAACGTGTTGGGGATTACATTTAAGTAGAGTATATTGTGAAAGTTCATGCTAGTGATTGTAAATAGTAAAGTGCATTGTAATTGAACGGTGAAGTACTGAGTAAATAAAGGACATTAGATTAATTCTTTATAACGAAAGAAAACTGCAAATTAAGTTGGCCTTTAGCTGCCACAATATTGTTGCGAAAATGCGAAGCAAATGTCAGATGAAAGAGAGAAGCCGATAACTAGTAAATTCTAGAACGATAAAACGAAAACCTTCGATATCGTACCACTCGATTACTCTAAACTTTCGTCTGCGACCAGCCGACTGCTATATAAGGGCGACATAAAAAGTAAACTCGTTGGCGACAACATCAGTATAGAGTATAGCGGAATAAACTAGCTGTTTATATTGAGTCGTAAAGTAAACGCGTTGAAGATTACATTTAAGTAAAGTAAATTGTGAAAGTTTTATACAAATGATTGTAACTAGTAAAGTGCATTGTAATTGAATTGAAGTAAATAAAGGACATTAGATAAATTCTTTATATCGAAGGAAACTGCAAATTAAGTTGGCGATTTTTTATTTAACAATCCAGAAATCGTACCCGAAGGATTCAGTAAATCATCGAGGTTAATTCAGCAAAATCGTACCAATATTTAGATTGGCAACGCTGTGTCTACTCGCCATAGCATGTCAAATAAGAAATACAGTTAATTGTACCACAGCTAAGGCTGCAACTACCCAACGAGCGTACCAGCCGTCCATAAGTGGCGACGTCGAGGCGAGATAAACACACGACTTATCGACGTCGCTGAGAGCTGAGAAATGTTGCCAGCTGCCTGTGTGTTTGCACACTTTTGAACAAATTCATAATTTTCGTCAACGAATTTCATAATTTATATGCTTGAATATAAACGCAAGACAAATATACATGATCTATATGATAACAAATAATTATTTACTCATTTATTTTTCATTTCTTTTGAACTAAACTACGCATTTTCTTCGATCATTCAATGTTACTTTAAGAAAAGCTATGCTGGCAACCTTGTATAGCAACGAAAAATGAGCCGAGCCGGTTTTACGGAAAAATCAAAACTTCGTTGGTTTCTGCGACACAAACGTCAGCAGCGCTATGGGAAAGCGGTGATAACTTTGTGTTTACATGGCGCTCTCATAAGATAGGTTACTATGGACGGCTGGTACGCGCGTTGGGTAGTTGCAGCCTAAATGGGTGGTAGTCTGTTCGCCCATTCGTTCATTCCCATCAGACCTCAGCATTTTAATTTTACCAGCTCGTAGCCCATAACTTGCGGCGGGCATTCTCTTCCCAAAATGTTATATACGATTGTTAGATGTTATGTTAATCGAATCGGAGCTGGACAGTTGTTTCAGAGGGTGTATGAAGTTGTTGAGATGTAAATTTCGCAAGCTTTTTGCCATTGAAGAATATATATATGTACATACATTGCGTGTATAATTTTCAAAAGCCATCTAAAAAAGATATACTTTAAAAAAATTTTGAATTATCAACATTGTTTTCATTTCACAAATTTTCTGTTCACAACCCTATAGTGCTAGTAAGAATTATCGATACATTTTACTGTGTTCCATCTTCAGGTGTGTTTTATTTGTACAAAAGAAAGTGATTATTCTAGAGCTGGGAGGCCATATTCTAAAATACTTTCAATAACATAATTTTTTGTATATTAAAGGGGTTCGCGAAGTTTGTTTTCAGCAACCTTCAGCTGAATTTTTATTTGTAAAGCAATATTTTCGATGTAGCATAATTATTAGGGAGCACAATTTGAAGTCGTTCGTAAACTTTTTATTTGTTATTTCTAAAAAAATGCAAAGTTTGATTGATGGCGTGTCTCGGGGATCAAGCTGTGCCTCTAGTGGCGGAAGCCATTCTGACGTAAGCTATCTCATTGGAAATTCGATAGCTACACCTACAAGTCAGGCACTAAAAACTCAACGCAACTTCAAATTATTGTCTGATCCAGCTTTAATCAAGGGCGCTACAAAAACTTATCGTTATGATGGAGTTTGCCCAACAGACCAAACTTATTCACCGGTGATTCCTAGGGATCCACGGAATCCTATTGTTCGGATGCGAGCCAGGCCAGTGGAACCCATGGTCCTCATTGTCCCGCGGTAATAATTACGTTTTACCTTTAGCCAATAATGTATATAACAATAATTTTTAGATTAACAATTGATAAAAATTACGTTGGTCAACCCCCCCCAATTGAAATTACTCTAACAAATTTAAACGACAACATAGATAGGCAATTTTTGGCAGGAATGTTAATCAAGTGTGGCCCTTATGATGAGCTATTAATATATCACCATCCGAAAACAAATAAACATCTTGGAGTCGCGCGAATTGTGTTTGAAAACATTAAAGGCGCTCGGTTGTGTGTTGAGAAATACAATCAGAAATCTGTAATGGGAAAGGTAAAAACCATTTTGAATGCATTCATTATTTTTTCTTGTTTTATAATCTTACCACTTTCAGGTGTTAAGCGTATTCCATGACCCTTTTGGTCTTATTTGCAAGCAAACAGTTGATCATTTGTCAACAGGAAAACCCAAACATTTTCCCAACGTGATTGACGAAGGGCAATTCTCTAGACCACAACAATCTGTCTCAGTGACACAAAACAGCGCAATTCATGGACCGTCTCAACCTCTGAAAGAGTATAAAAATGAAGAATCTTTTAAAGACGAAGAGCTGTCAGGATATCAAACGTTTCGAACGAATCGAGATTATTATATACAGCCCTATCGGAGGCATATGGTAGATGAATATCAAAGTAAAGACTCTAGAGAAAAGGAGCGTATTCGAGATAAATACTCATATCAAACGTATGATCGTAGTAAGAATCATCATAACAGGCATGAAACTGAAAGAGACGTTTCTACCGAAAGAAATAGAGAGCGGAGCAACCATCGTGATCGTGAAAGAGACAGGGATTACTACAAATCTCGACATCGCGATAGACGACATGATCATGATGAACAAAACGAAAGGGACTATCGTAAAAGAAATATAACACGATGTGATAAGGACAGAGAAAGAGGAAAAGGTCGTAATCTGACACAAGTCACAAAGGAGTATGAATCATCAAATAATTTTAAGAATAATTCGGAAATTGCCGAGGTAGACAAGTTCTATTTTCATCATCTCGGAGCTTCAATCCAGCAACATTCTGCGCCTTCGTTAAATATAACATCGGACCCAGGCTACACTTACTCTACTTATGGTTATAATACCGAATGTGCTCAAAATACTTGGGCAGGTCAAAGGTCATGGACTGCACCGCAGCCTCAATCGCAGCCAAAAGTTGAAATTCCACCACCACCTCCTCCCGATAAAACACCAAATTGGGATGATCCAGAGCCTCCGCCTCCGGGACAAGCAAGTCCTGAAAATTTAAATCCGCAATTCAATAAATCAAGTATGCCGCCAGAAAATGATTCCAAGGGAATTATTTCAGAGAAAACTGAAAATAACGAACTAGGGAAGGTAGACTTGGATACCAGAATAGAGATGATGTTTAAAAGGAAATCCTTCGGGAATCCTCCACCATTCCTCCAAATTGAGAGTAGTGAATCGGAGACAGAAAACAGCACAGAAAAAAAGGATGAAATGAAAACAACTTCCGATGATACTCAAAAGTCGAAGTTAAAATTATCATTTAAAAAACAAAATAAAATGGCGCAACCATATGAACAACAAGATGCAAGTGACATTTCCTCAAGCGATGATGAAATTCTTCATAAAAAAGAATCTTTGAGTCCCATACTCATACAAAAGGAAGAGGATCACATGTCTCTATCAAGCCTATCTTCTCATGACGTTATACACCGCAAAGAAAAGTCAATGCAATCCCATAATGCTTCAGAGAAGCGTACGAACTTTACAGAAAAGGATATAGGATCAAGATACAGTACATATTCATATTCTAATAATGAATATTATAAGCAGAACTTAATTTACTCTTTGCCACTTTACCCCGATATATCAACGCCTCATTTTCCAAACCCAGCATATATGCATTCAGCGTACATGCCTGGCTTTAGAAGCATAACATATGGATCATCATATAATGAGGAGTATGGTCATTGTACTCAACCATTGAGCAACGATAAAATATATTCTGGTTATACTTACAACCAAAATGATCCATTTAAAAAGCAAATAGATGCAGTTGTTGATCGAGTAAGTACTGAATTGAAGCAAATACTTAAAAGAGATTTTAATAAAAAAATGATAGAAAATACTGCTTATAAAAATTTTGAGTCTTGGTGGGATGATCAAATGCAGAAAAGTCGACATAAGAACAGGGATTCAGTGTTAAATGACAAAAATACGTTAATTTCTGATACTTCGTCATCAAAAAGAGTGGATAAGGCTCCAGATATAAACCAGATAATTAATAATCAATGTGATATGACTGATTTGTGTTCATTTACTAGCCTTGGTCTTAGGGCTTCGATTCCGAAATTGCCTTCTTTTCGTAGAATTCGCAAGAAATCCATATCACCGGCTAAGGATGACTATGAAAAGCATTTAAGTGACCAGGATGAAATGGTTCGTGGTTCTGATTCTGAAAAAGAAGATACAAACGTGGATATGAGTAACATTCGTAAGAAAACTGACCTTTCGCCAAAGTCAAAGATAAAACCAAACTCACCTAGTTCTTCTTCATCGGAATCGGATGATAGTAGTGAAGGTGAGTCAAGCGATGAGAGTGAAGCATCTGGAGATGACTTTAGTTCGTGTTCCGAAAATGGGGGCAACCGAAGTAATTCTTGGAAAGCAGATATTGAAGGAAAGAAAGAAAAAGCTATATATTCTAAAAACGACATATACTCAGATAGCGAAAATGAGCAAGGCACGTACAGTAAGGTAATAGAATCCGTTAATATCGACCGCAGAAAATCTTCTAGTGTAAATAAAGACTTCTCCATTACGTCCGATTTGGAAGACATTAGTAAGGACAGCAATATTACTATAGAAGATACAGAAGAAAAGGACAATAAACAAGTAATTGAAAGCGCTACAGTTTTAAATGAAAGTTCAATTACATCACTTCCGAATGAGTCAAATATAGAAAAGATTGACAAGAAAACAAAAAATTCATCGCATTTCGGATATGATCGCATTTATAGTGATTCTGAGGAAGAGCGGGAGTATCAAGAGCGACGCCGACGTAACACCGAGTATATGGCTCAAATAGAACGTGAGTTCCTTGAGGAACAGGCACTGAAACTGCGCGAAGTTCAAAAAGCGAGTCATGTTAGTGTGGAAAATGAAAATGAAAAACCTGCTCACGTACAAAATATATCAGATTTACCAAATGAAACAGAATATCCTTACAAAAAACCTACATCTGCAACTTTAGAAAACTCGTTACCATTAGAAAAAATTGTGGATGATACGAATTTCGCTGATAGAAAGAAAGATAAAAATAAGGGAAAAATAAAGAATGAAGCCAAATATAAAAGAAAGCAGGAATATAAAAGTAAAAATCAACTTTTTACAGCACCTTTACCTTTACAAAATTTGTCGGAAACATGTAACAAACAGTTAATCAAATCAACTAATGGATTAGAGGAAGAACATATAAGTACGAACGAATTTGAAAAACTTGTGACAAATCAAGTTTATAAAGAATTTAACGATGATGTAAAAATGTCACCATCCTCTGATGGTGGCTCAAGTCAGGCAAGCCAAGCTAGTCAAGTTGCTTTAGAGCACTGTTATTCATTACCGCCACATGCTGATACATCAAAAGGTTCTCATCAAAAAGAAAAACAAATTTATCCCAACAGATATAATGCCAATGAAAAGCAACAAAATTTAGAACATGATCACGGTAGTTATGCTAATGTTAATACTTCAGGAAATAGTACAGAACTGTTTTCTACTGAGAAAGAAAAAACAATTCATCGGCAAAATACAAAGCCAGGTCCTGGTCGTCCAAGAAAGGATCCAGCGAAAATGCGTAGGAGAAATGGCGTAGCACAAAGTTCTAATAAACTAGAAATGGATAAAAATGTTCTCACAAGAGATATGTTGATGCGAAATCTAGTTTCCCAAACCCATTATATTCCATTAGAGCTTTTCAAAGCCCGAGATGCAACGGATGAGTTGATGGTCTTGTATGAATTTCTTACAAAGGGAATTGACTTTGAAGATATTAAATATATACGGAGGAGCTATGAAATACATCTCCAAGAAGATACTTATGGGTAAGCAACTGCAAGTAATAAATCACGTTTATTTTTACGATTTTTTTTTCTATTTTTTTTCTTTACAGATTTTGGTTGAATAACACCCATTGGGTAGACCATTGCATAACTGATCGCTCCTTCCTTCCACCTCCACCCAAAAAGCGGAAACGAGAAGACGAACTTAAGAAACACAAATCAGGTTGCGCTCGCACCGAAGGATATTATAAATTAGATATCAGGGAGAAGGCTAAACATAAATATCATCATGCTAAATCTACTGCAGAAAGTACTCTCAGTATAGATAGGAATGAAGATCAATTACAGCAATCACATAATAAATTAGTATCAAAAATGCAAGGTATATCACGTGAAGCAAGATCTAATCAACGGCGCTTGCTAACTGCATTCGGTTCAATCGGAGAGTCTGAATTGTTAAAGTTTAACCAGTTGAAATTTAGAAAGAAGCAACTGAAGTTTGCAAAATCCGCTATACATGATTGGGGATTATTTGCAATGGAACCGATAGCAGCGGATGAAATGGTTATAGAATATGTCGGTCAAATGATACGTCCAATAGTTGCTGATTTACGAGAATCTAAATACGAGGCAATAGGTATTGGAAGTTCATATTTATTTAGAATTGATATGGAAACAATTATTGATGCTACAAAGTGTGGCAATTTGGCACGTTTTATTAATCACAGTTGTAACGTAAGTACATTGGAGAAATTTCTTGCATCTTTACATATATATATATTTATATATATATATAATTACAGCCAAACTGCTACGCTAAGGTTATTACTATTGAATCTGAAAAAAAGATTGTCATATACTCGAAGCAACCGATTGGAATAAACGAAGAGATAACTTATGACTATAAATTTCCATTAGAAGATGAAAAAATTCCCTGCTTATGCGGAGCACAGGGATGCCGGGGAACTCTCAACTAATTGCGATATTTTAGTTCTTATCAATACCTCATTAAGTAAACTTTGAAAATATATGTAAGTTCAAAATTTCTGTAATTTTGTTTAGATTTAATGCATTATATAAATATCCCTATATTAATATTTGTTAATTTATTTGACTGTTTCTACAGAAAATACTTCCTTATTTATTTGATTCCTTAGTGATGTATAAAATTAGAATATTGGCTTCCGAAGCTTTTCAAAACCTATTAAATTTTTAGTTTGATGTTATCTGCAGTGCTCGGAAGTGTAGCTCGCTATATGTATATAACTTGGTCGAGCTCTCTTTATTAGTTTATTTTATTAGACACGCACTATTTGCCAACTATTTTCATTAAAAACAGAATTAATTTAAATAAATTGTAAAATGTTGAATTAAGAATGTCAAAGCAAACACCAAAGACATTTTTTTATATATCCCCGACATGATCATAGTTTCTTCAACGGCTTGTTTGTTTTCGGTTTGCTTTCGGTTTGCTTTCTAGTTGATTATTTTACCTCGGTAGATAAGAAACAAGACCACTGCAATGATTAGCTCAAAATAATCAATTCATGCTGTCTTCAATGAGTGACGTTGATGGTGGCGTTTTATTTTTGGCAAAGTAGATGGTGTCGTTTATTGGAATAGAATAGCGAAAAAGTGTTAACATGTTCCTTTTATTTCTGATAATTTCTTCTATAAGATGACTCTTTCTGGATAGGTGGAATATGAAATGCCGTTTTTGATGACAAAATTATTGTTTAATACATGGTATAAACAGTTTTGTCGTAAAGGTGTGACAATTACTTTAGTGTCTAAAATGACCCGAAAGGAATGGAGCTACCGGAACATGAATGAATTATAATACCCCTACCACAGTTATGGGTAATTGTGAAAGCTCACTAGGCATAACAATTGCTACTGCTGGTTGCTGGTCTGAACACTATAACCCGGCGACTTATAGTGACGCTGGCATCGGACCAATTACCCATACATACCTGAACTGACAGACCTCCCAACTTTGTTTCCGGGGACCACCGGACATTTGTTAACAAAAAAAGATAACTGGTTTCACGGACGCCGCCTTTAGTGTTCTCTCAACTCAATCAGAAGTCTGCCGTGAACGGTTATTCCACAGGATTGTCGGGATCGCTGCCACCCGCTCCATTCAGAACTGCGGAAAGCCTTATCCTGATTTCCCGACGGAAGCGGCGATTATATCTAAAAAAGGATATTCGACGAGTAGAGAATAATCCGAAGCGGAAAAAGTGTCATGGTCACTTTAGAACCGACAATCTATCCTCTGTGGCAACCAAACTCTAGGCTACAGTCAAGTCATTGTCGGACCCAAAGAGATACGCTAGCTATTTTAGCCGACTCTTTACACTGCATCTCCAAGGTCCTCCATTTGTTTCTGACCATCCTGAAGATACCCGATGTGTGGAAAATGGGCGGGGTGGTCTCGCTACTCCAGCCGAAGAAGCCAGCCTCTCCCCAGTAGCGAAGACATAAATTCACCATTTGAGTCCAGCACCACACAGCATGGCCTTCTCAAAGTGCAGCTATCACAACAACACTTATCGTCATAAACATCATATAGGCATTGTTCTTAACAAAAATCGGCTATGCGCGCAAACTGTTCTGGTACACTGATACGTCAACCATTCGGTGCTATTATTACCGCCGGTGTTGAAAAGATGGATCATGGGCTACCTGAGTGGTCGTCAATCGGCGAAACATTGAAACTAAGGAAGATTAACTAGGTGGTGTCTTCTCACCATTAATTTCTATTGTTCGAAACTCGCTCCTCCACCATGACCTCATATGTCGATGATTGTTCGATATTGTCGTCTGGTCAGAATATTGATGATCTTTTTTGATAAACGGTTATCTCGTCGACCTATCCCACTTCTTCACTGTACGAGAGCTTAAAATACAACCGACCAAATCCTCGGCTACCATTTCCACCAGCTGGACGAAGGAACTAGATGTGAAGATAAGTCACATTTGGCTGGCCGGTCGTTAACTATGCTGCACCGATCTGGGCGCCGGGGCGAACGAGACGCTGATGAAGAAGCTACAAGCTTGACAGAACTCCGCTCTCAGGACCACGACAGGAAACCTCCTCATGTCGCCGGGGCATCTCTTGCACAGTGAAGCATCTATGCTACGAGTTAGGGAACATAATGCTTTGCTGTTCAACCAACACCCCAGTACGCATCTTTTTGAAGCTAGGCTTATAGACAAGAACTGAACGCCATTCACCAGGAGTCAGTCAACACCTTCAAAGACTCCCTTTCTAGCCCTAGCGTACTCGGAGTTAAAGCACCACCCAAGCTGACGAAGATCTCGAGCAGCCTCGACAGACCAGTGTGATACTGGCGCAACTCTGGTGTGGATATTGGAGCAGGTAAAACTTCCACTTATCCAGACTCGATCTCAACATCCCCAACGTATGTTCTGCACGTAGAGAGTCTACGCGCCACACTAACCACCTCTTTACATGCCCCCTAACAGAAAATTAAGTCACCAACTGACCGAACTATTAATCAGCTCGAGGGATTTTGTTAAATCTAAAAACAACAAAGCTTTACAATGACTTTATTAGTCTCCCTTTCAAATTTTAGAACGATCCGCTAAAATGGTGATGAAAAAACGCAAGATACGAGTAGCTGAGGATAAGTCGCACGAAATTTCACTACCGATGCAAACGAAAATTCGCCATATGATTCTCTTGTGGTTTCGGTGTAAGTTACAATACAATATATTCAGTGAATTCCAATTACATATGGAGCGATTCCACCGTCTTTAAAAACTATTTCTAAGTGGTGGTAGAGGACCAGCTCTGAAAATGTCAACCAAAATCTTCCACCGATGACGTCAGTGCAGCTCTGGTGCATTTTGCTTAAATTTTCCTAAACAAATTCGAAAATGCTCGGTCTAGCAACTTTAGTAAAGTCGTTACTGGTGATGTACGATGTAAATCTAGAAACCAACCAGCAGTTCTTGGTATGCAGCCCAACAGTTTACTTCACCCGATCTAAAATTGTAGCTCCTATTCCACTGGGAAAGGGTCAGACAGTAAATGCAAAATGGTACACCGAAGAGTGCTGCCAAAACTTTTCAAAAATTTGTGGGAAAACATTAAAAAAGAGAATTCGCTGTGCTACTTTTTACATCATAGCAGCGCGCCATTCCACACCGCAGAAATACGTCGATACGAATATAGCATTTTGTAATTTCTGGTTATTTCTAGAAGATAAAAAGAATTTGTTTCTTTTTCATTTTTGGCCAACTAACCGAACTTTTGTAAAGTCCCTGGCATTGAATTTGTTTCCTAATATTTTATTGCGGTGAATTAAAACTTTGACACTTAAGTAAATATATACATATGGTTCAAATAAAGCTTGCCGGGAGAAACTCTGACTACGGAGCAAAGCAAACCAAGGCTATGTCATAATTACCAGAAATTTGTTATTTTTGTTGCTTAATTATCTTGTAAAACAATACAATTTAATATAACTAATATAAAATAAATTGTGGTGCTACTTTCACCTTCCTGTGAAGTTTAAATATCATGTATTGCATTCGAGAATTGAGAATGCCTCAACTATTTGCAATGTGGATTATGGATTAATAAGATAACTGATTTCAGAACTACAGGGCTGACATTTGTCTAACTTAACTGTCAAACCTACGTGTTTTGTTTTAGTTTAAAGTGGGGCATTCATTCGAGGTTATCTAACAGGAGGTCTATAAAACGTGCTATTTCGACGAGATCAGACCAGAAGGCGAGGGGGGTTACATTTGTTGGCTTAAGGGGGCATGTGAAGAGTTGGTTAGTTTCATGCGGAGACTCTTCCACTTGCATTGGTCGAGTCTGGATAGGTAAGAGTTTAACCTGCTTCAATATCCAGACATAAGTTGTGCCAGTGTCATGCGAGTCTCGAGAGGCAGCTCGAGCTGGTTGATTGCAATAGGTGGTGCTTTTTCTCCGAGGACGGCATTCACATGGGGAGAGTTCTTAAAGGTCTTGACTAATTCTTGGTGAATGGTGTTGAGTGCGTGTCTGGATGTAGTCCTGTCCAGCGGTTGTTGAACGTGTTGCTGGATGGTGTCCTTCATATCTAGTACTGCCATTCTGATGTGCCTATGTGGCGGTTCAGCTTCAATAAGATGCCTACTGGGGCGTTAACGATCGGCCAGCCAATCATTTTGTAGGTTGCCAGCAAAGCTTTCTTTATCTTTAACCCAGGTGCTGCCGGCCACCGCTTTGAGTATTTTGTTTCGGCTCTGGAGTTTTTCGGTAATAACGAACCCCATCTGGTGAAGAGGGTAGCCGAGGATTTGGTCGGCTGTATTTTCAGTTGTCTTGCAGTGAAGAAGTGGGAAAGGTCGGCGAAAGTTCACTTTCGCGTAAAGGGGGTTACATCAAAAGGGGGGGGGCCTTTAAAATCCTGGCCAGTGATATACTATTGATATTTAGTAAGTTTGATGACTTTCTGCAATGTTGGGTAATAATTATGATAACCAATTTTTTACGGACGAAAGAGCACTCTTTTCACTTTTGGTAAAATTTTAACCAGCAGGAGTTAGCAATCAAGAAAACATTTAATTTAAAATCATACCTAAAATCTCATAAAATTAAAAATATATATTATTGTATATTTTAATTAAGCCATGACTGACTTTTTGAAAATATTGTCGCATTAAAAAGGAAGAATAAAGTTTTTACTGAATATAACGCAAGCAATTGTGCAAAAATAATGCAATAAATTCTATAATATTCAGTTAACAATGACTGATAATGTGGAAAATTACTTCCAAATACATTTATGTATTTCAAGCATATTTCTTGAAGCAAGCTTTACATAAGTCTTCATCATTACACAGGACTATTAAAAAGTAGGTATATATTTGCTGGTAGCTGGAAGCTTGTGGAATTACAACATTGTAGAAATTAGTAATTTTATAAAATATTAAAAATATATATGTATATATAACTGACGCTTTGTAACCGTTGAAGGGATTTCGGGCGAGGAGGAGAATTTGTAGTATGTGTCTTGATGTGTTTCCAACAAAAGGTGGGACTAGTTTATACTAAGCCGCTTCCGAACGGGTGATGGCTGTTTTTTGAGGAGCCTTTATTTCATGTCGGAAATACACTCGGAATTAACATTCCCTGCCGATGGGCGACCGCAATTAGAGCCAACTCTTTCCCTACCTGGTCTTTCCAATTAGGTGAAGGTATTCCTCTTACTCTGCTTTCAGCGGCAGGTACTGCATCGTAAACTTTCAAAGCTAGAATTTACATAGCCGTATAAGTTTTGCGGTGACACTAAATACAGACATATCGGCGTAAACGCAGCTCCTATTCGTGCTGTTTGAAGGCTGCTTTAAAATCGACGATAAGGTGGTGTGTGTCGATCATCTTTTCACGGACCTTGACAATGTAGTAAAATAATAATAAATCGTATCGTGAATACCGCATATGTTTTCTTTTGTAGCTATATTAAAATTTTTTGTTTTAAAAAGGCCGCATACCAATATACCAATAACTATTGAAAGTGATGGAAAATTAAAACCTCATATATTAAGCCGTAATCATTAAATCGTATTATTTCCAGATATCCGATGATAACCAGCGGTACAGATGTGATTATGCGCGATATCCTGGTAGTACGACGACTCTCGTGTACATGGACTATAAGCGATGTCAAGAAGTACTTCGAAAGAAGTTACAGGAAAGAAAAACGAAATGTACTACAGGTATTAAAAATTATTTAAAGAAAACCAAAGTGTCTTATAAAGTGCAAATATATAAATATACAATAGGAGGTACACCATTACTGATGACATCATTTCGTTCGCAGGACAAAGAATGTCCTGAAAGAGGTTTGAAAAAAATATATTCGGAAGTCCGAAATATCGTCGATAGAAAAATCGGGTTATTCAAAAATCGACTTTGTTGTATACTCGTACTTGGTGGGCTGTGCATTGCATAAGATAAGCGATCATTGCCTTGTAAAAGAACCTTTGATGAAGGCCAAACTGAGAAGCAACCGCCCTAGATAATTTTGAGTAAAATGAATCTGTAAATTATACAAGAGAAGCAATATAAATGATAAAGCATTCTTAGAGCTTCGCCAATAATTTATTTCAATTTCTTTAAATTCGTTTTTCATATTCTGGTATACACATAAATAAATAAAAAAATATACGTATAGGGCAGCCTAGTCCTCAGTCTTCATTTCATTTAAAATATAAAAAAGAACTTAAACGAATTTAATTTAAGTTGCAAATTCGTGTTGTCAAAAATTCAACCAGTAAGGATTAGCAAACAAATGATTTGTGATCATATGATTGAATTTTTGTCCACAGCCTAAATGTAATTAAAATAAAAATAATATTTAATAAAATGTAATGTGGTTTTAATAAATTTAATTGAATTATATCAATGATTCGATTAAAGAGTAAAGGTAAGTACCCTTTATACGAAAGTGTGGTGGCCGTGTAGAGGAATCATTGCTCGCACACTAAAACGTCTGCAATGAGTTATTTGGAATTGCATATTTGAATCCATGGAATGACACCGCAACCAGAATGACTGAAGTCATTACCCGTCAGGTCGTAGGACGATTTTTCCATCAGTTTCTTAAGGCCGAAACAAAACTTTTACATTCGCATACGTGTAACATACGCCACTCTATCTTCGTTCTCTTCTACATTTTCGTAATTTTTTTGGACACGGAACACAGCTTATAGAAAGCATTGAGAGTCCAAAGTAAATCAGGTTTGATAAATTTTTTTCTACTCACGTAAATACATACATACATTATTAAGATTCTTTATTCCAATATTTTTACATAGCTCGCACATAGCTTGGAAAAGAAGCAGTAAATTATTTTTTTTTTTTTCGTAATTCAGCAAAATAATTCTGCTAATTCAGCTCCTCGTCGACTTCCCTGAAGTCAGAATGTTATTACTCTTTAACTCAAATTGTTGAATATTTTCAGTCAAAGTGTTCCATTAAGTATTGCTTTTGCGGCCTATTTTTGTTATAAGTTTTAAGTGAGCGAAATGCCTGGTTTGTTTGTATGAATTGAATATTTATTGCACTATTGCTGTATGCTCAGTATACAGCCTATTTACACAAATATGGATGATTTATATATACAGTGGCACACAGCCAAAGTGATCCAGCTATCTAAGAAATAGTATAATAAGTTTTATTTAAAAATTAATTAAATTTTCCAAAAAAAAAAAAAAAATAAGAATACCAGTTAATAGCGGCAAATAGACATCTTTCATTGATGCTTTAAAAGTTTTATATTTTATGTTTATTTAATGTAATTTACAACAAAAAAAAACTTCAGTATTAAATTCTACCACACAGGGAGAATGATGCAGTAATAAAAGAATTTAAGTTGTTCTGTTTGAACTTTACTAAATGGTGCTCGTTTCGCCAAAAATCCAATAAAATTAGTACCGAAAAAGAAAATTCGTGCTGGGAAAATTTCAGTCAGTCATATGCTTGAATTTTTGTTAAAACAACAAAGTTGATTTACTTTAATATGAATCATACACAAGGTGTGACAATAAAGTAATGAGACCGATTAGCTTAACCCTGCGACCTTGACATCCCCTTTTCTTTCTCCAGGAATCCTCCTCTCCATTGCTATATTTGCCATCGCTCTAGCACGTTTAGTTCGCCTGCTGTGTCGTGTTGAGTAACCGTGTGTTCGTGGTGCTCGTCACGAAAATGGAAAAATGAAATCAAGAGCAATATTTGGAACAAGTGGACAAGGATCCCATGCCGCCCACAATAGTTGTACCTGCACGCCCCCGTCCGAAAAAAGATAATTCCGACAACGCTTACAAAGTATATATAGTCAAGGTTTGGATCCTGATGAATCGCAAGGGTTCGAAGATGAGTTTGTGAAAGAACTGGGCTCTCACAAATCTGTTTGCATACGCCTAGAGTCGGACATCCTTGTCGAAGCTTGCACCTTATCTATTTAGCTTTTATTTTTCCTTCAGCGTCAAATTGAAGAAAGCGCGCAATAAAGAGTCACCTCATCTTGATTTTTTAAGCGGCATCCATTACTAGTTCACCCCTCTGACTGCTACAAGAGCTAACTCTGTTCTTGAAATCTTTCGTAAGTCGTCGTAGCCAGCCTCTCAAGATTTTCACACTCACGCGCTTCTGCCAGTTTCTTTTTTCCAGAGAATGGGTCTTGCTTCCTTCTTCAGCTCTCGGAATCTATCCATCCCGCACGTGTTGTGGTCGATTGCATGATTGTGAAATAGGCAGTCTGTTTTCTCTCTACTGCATTTCGACATTCCTCTTCGTACAAGATATTATTCTGACACTGCCGGAAACCAATTATTTCCGTAGCCGCGTTAAATAGAGAGTTTGCGATGCCGTTCAATAGTTCCCTTAATATCAAGTTACTGCTGAGTGCTTTCAGAAAGCAGGTGTTCAAGCCGAGTAGAAATCAGTTCGTCTGTCTCTTGTGATTTCAGCAGGTTTTCATTGAAGTTCACTTTTCATGTGGTGGGATGTTTGTTGGCTAACAAGAGGAAACTTGGTCTAAGACCGGAAGACGTGAGCTGCTGGATCACACTTTTGCATATGGTTTCCATTTCTAGCCACTTCTGACAGTGAAAAACTTTCCTCTTTTGCGTGAACTTCTAAGCATGATCCCGTCTCCCAGGAAACTCAGTATCGACCAATAAAATATCCTTTACCGTCAAGACAGACAGAAGTAGTCATCGGCAATGGCAAATATGTGTCAATGGTAACAGTTATCGATAAAATCTACGACACTAGTATTTTTATTTTCATTTTAATTTCTACGAAATAATAGCTGTTAGTTAATTTTACTAATTGCGGTCATCCTAACAGTTCTCACTAAGTCGCTTTCGAACGGATTATGGCTTTTTTATGAGGAGCCTTTGTTTCTTGTCAGAAATACCTTCGGAGGGGTCGACATTCCCTGACAAAGGGGCGACCACAATTAGAAAATTTAACTTAATTTTTTATTTAAATAAATTTTTTTTTTTAACTTTTGAATGTTGGTTGCACAAGGATTTGATACCGGGCCTTCCGAATGAACGTAATAATACTAACCACTCGTCTACCGGGCCGCTTTTGCAGTAAATAAAGTTAAAATTATGTTTCGAATAAATCGGACTAGGTTCCAGGTCTCTGGTCCATTTCCAGGAAACAAAAGTATTTCATGCAGACTTATATTTAAAAAAAGATCCACTTTCCGTAAAAAAATTCAAGTAATTAGCTCTAGTAATACGCTTTTTACGGAAAACGATACACACATTTTTTTTGAAAAATTCGGTCAATTTAAAATTCACGATCCAAATCTCGCTGCACTCAAATTTACTTTTATTTTTATTTTTACGTGAAGTCAGAACTCAACACAAATTTGAATTTTTTGACATTTCGCCCTATTAAAGTTAAGCTTATTAACATAGGAAATTGATAGAAGACAACTAGTATATTTTTCTGCAGCTTGTTTGCCACAATATACTCATACTTTTACGGTCTTTCACGGCGAAGCACCAAAGCTCTATGCGGAAGTGCCTTTAATTAATTTGAGCCACTAATTTGTTCCCAGTTTAATACAAAGTAACTGATGACAATGTTGTTCATAACAATTCTGATATTCCTCTGGAAAAAGTGAAAGTGAAGCTTGTGTGTTCTTTAGTTCACAAATAAAACCTTTGATGTAAACATTCGTTGCGGGAATTTATATACTTACATTATTTAAGAGCATTGTGGACAAATAAAACTGGTAAGGCTTTTAAATTAAACCGTGTCGCAAATTTATTTATATAATAAACAAACAACCTTACTTTTTTATTTATTCAAAATGATAAAATAAAGTTTTTCTCAAAATATAGTAATAATAATTAAAAAAAAGTTCAAAATAATGCTAATTCTGCTGCTCTGTAAAAACCGGTTATTATTTCCAAAATTAGTTCGGTGAATAAAGCAAATTGATGCGTGTGTAGGTTCAATGTATCATACCCTCCAGCAAGCGTAAAGCGAATTTGGGAAGACATGAACTTTTGTGGAAAGTTAACGAAGGTCGAAAAAGGAAGCATATAAATAAGAAACTCTTCGTGCGTATTTGTTGTTGCATTTTGGCGCAAGTAAACACTGCTGGCGAATATAAAGAGATACGTCACTCTCAATTGATTTGAAAGCAAGGCGGCAAAGCAATCTTTGACAATTGACTTAATCGGGTAGGTTTGGACGATTCGCGAAAATACTCTTTAAATTGATACATTTATATCCGATAGCCCGCAATGAAAATTAATTAATATTGGGAGGTTTATAAGCATTAAACACTAAAGAATTAATAAATAATTTCATAAATCAAATTTAGTAAATGTGAAGGAAAAGTTAAAACAATATTTTTCTCTACGGGAAGGTGACCAGTGACTGATGGTTCGATTTAATTGAAATGTGGTGCATTAGACTAGCTGGAGCTCTCTTTGCTATCCTGGAAATGAACGAGGAACCAATTCAAAAAAATTGTATTAATCGGTCGATTTACTTGAAATTTGGCACAATAGTATTAGGAACGCTTCAGCGGCTACAAAGCGCCAATTATATAATATAATTCCTTCCCGGGAAGTGGACCAGGTGATCTATTGAAGAAATCGTTTTCGTATCCTGGGCCGAGCAGCTCTCGCCTCCGAACGGCTGATGGAATTTTATGAAGAGCTTTCTTTCATGTTAGAAAAACACTTGGAGAGGTTGACATTCCCTGCCGAGGCGCGACCGCAATTAGAAAACTTAGCTTTATTTTTTATTTTAAATTAGGTTTCTTTAACTTTTTGCCTTCATTCATTCACGAAGATAAAATTGTTGACCAATTGACGAATTTGAATAATTTTTAAGTAAACTAAAAAGGGATATTGTTAATTCAGAAAAGTTCGATTTGCTCAATTCCAACAATCAGCTTTGTTAGATTTAAAGTCGAAAATGTTCGTAATAATTAATTACAAGAACATTTCTTGCGAAATTTTTTTTGGCTTTTTGATGAAAACAGAAAATATGAAAGTATTATAATCTATTGGCGAGTTCAGAAAATATCACACTTGTTAATCGAATTATTGCACTATAGAAAATAAGTCAATAATTGGAATAACTTAATGAATGTATAATATTATTGTTCAGCGCTACAGCAACTGATTTTACTTACTTACTAACTTACTTAACTGGCGTAGACACCGCTTACGCGATTATAGCCAAGTTAACAACATTGCCCTATTCGTTTCTTCTTTTTGCTGTTTGGGGTCGATTGGAAATACCAAGTACAGCCCGGTCTTTCTCTAGCTGATCTTTCCAACAGAGTGGAGGTCTTCCTCTTCCTCTGCTTCCACCGGCGGGTACTACAAGACTTTCAAAGCTGGAATATTCGTATCCATCCGGACCATATAACCCAGCCAGCGTAGCCACTGTTTCTTTATTCGCTGAACTATGTCAATGTCGACGTATAACTCGTACAGTTCAACGTTCCACCGTCTGCCTTATTTTCCGTTGCAAATGCACAACGCACCGTAAATCTTACGCAACACTTTCCTCTCGAAAACTCCTAATGACGACTCATCAGATGCTATTATCCTCCATGCTTCCGCACCATATAGCAGGACGAGAACGATGAGGGACTTGCAGAGTTTGGTTTTCGTTCGTCGGGAGAGGGCTTTAATTTTCAATTGCCTATTCAGTCCAAAGTAGCATGTGTTGGCAAGAGTGATTCTGCGGTGGATTTCAAGGCTGACGTTATTATTGGTGTTGACGCTTTTTCCTTGATAGACGAAATTTTGTACGACCTCAAAGCTATGACTGTCAACAGTGACGTGGAAGCAAAGTCACAAAAGCAATGACTTTTTATGTGATTACAGAAGATATTTCGTCTTGCCCTCGTTCGGTACCGGACCCATACCCTTCGATCTCTTATCCAGTCTGGAGAAAGCATAACTCATGGCGCGGTTGTTCAGGCCAATAATGTCAATTTTTAAAGAAGATTGTGCAATAAGTTGAAAGAGTAATACGATTAAGGATCGCGTCGTCTGAAACCTCGTTTGGTATCGAACGGCTCGCAGAGGTCCTTCCCGATCCTGACGGAGCTTTTAGTGTTGCTTAACGTCAGTTTACACAGCCGTATAAGTTTTGCGGGAATACCAAATTCAGACAAATTAACACAATAATTTTTTACGTTCGAGTCTGGACAGCTCAGACAACTTAACACAAATACTCAAACTCTGTAAACTCATACACCCGAAATATGTGAATATACAGTAAAATTAATCATTTAACTATCGAGTGCTCATTTCTAATATCAATATATAAAAGCGCCTGCCGAAAAACTCGGTAGTAATAATATTTACAACAAAAGTATTTTTGTAATAAAAGCGCACTTAAAAGTTCTTGGTTACAGCATGGCTGATGTTGTTTCAATGGTAGAGCATTCGCCCGTTAAGTCGGGAACTCAATTTAATTTCTACTGTTATCTGTGCCGTCGGTGTGGCAAGTAGAAATACAAGGCTAATTCAAAAAGTTGAGGACACTTAAATTTAATCTTTCACAATTTATGAAACTTCAAAAAAATGTATTTTTTGCCAATTTAGCAAGGTGGAGTTAGAAGAGCAGCGAATTCAACTTTAATTATTTAATTAATTCGCTTAAGTATAAAGGCTGTCAAAATGTTTGTTTATATTTTGATTTTTTTTCAATTACATTTAATTTGATTGCTAAATAAAAATTTTCAAATTAGAATTTTTTGTTTTTCCAAATAAAAAATATGGACCGTTATTGAGCTGGGATGATACGGCTATTAATCAACGCAATTAGGTTTTGCACCAAGGCCTGAATCAAAGCGAATTTGTCCGCATAGAGTTTAGACTTTACATATCCGCACAGGAAAAAGTATAACGGTTTGATATCACACGATCTTGGTGCCCAATTGACCGGCCCAAAATGTGAAATTATCTGTTCACCGAAATGTTCTCTCGACAAATCCATTGATTGATGCGAGTTGTGGAAAGTGGCGCCTTCGGTTATTATGGTGCGAATACAATCGCCATTGACGGTTAAGTTCTCATCGGCATCACCGATGATGAACCACGCCACGCCAAACCGTTGTTTTTCTGGATGATATGGTAACTCTTGAATCTATTCAGGCTGCTCTTCATCTCAAATGCAGCAATTTTGCTTGTTTAGATACCCTTCGAGCTAGAAATGAGCCTGATCGTTGAACAAAATTTGCATCGAAAACGTCGGATCTTCTCGGAACTTATTAAGATGTCACTTGGGAAGATCGAACGGCTTCAGATGTGACAGACATTTTCTAATCGGCGAAAGTGTTTCCATGATGAAATGCCAAGCAATAGTGAACAACAATAATATTACAGCTTGACACGACTCACGCATGATCTTTCAAAGAAAGGGTATTGAAAAAAGTACTATTGGATCACTCGTTATATGCATAAAATGTAGTGTATGTTATTACCGATTTTATTGTCGAAAAACCGACCCTTAATCTGAATGCAGTATATCTTTGTGGGCGTCATACAAATTTAATGTGTTTACACATTCGATGAGATGTAAATGGACCCCCAATAATTTTTAAAGCTTGCTAGGACATTTATCAAGGTATAATATGATGGTTGTTTTTTACTTTTCGATTTACTCGGACGAGACGAATGAATGAGATGAAAAATGCTACATTGAGGAGCACCAGCTTTTATTGGAAACTCCTAAGTCATGAATTCCTATTGTTTTACTGTAAACCGGCAGTTAAACAAAGTTTTATAAATAATACTCTTTGAACTCGAAAGCCTTTCTAATTTCATTTGGTTGACTTGTTCATTCTGAACAAAATTTGTTGTAGATTAAAACATAGAATACATAATAATTCAAACGTTCATATGTGTCCATTTTAGATTATATAACAGCACGGTTGACATGGTGGGAATACGAACCGCTATTGAATTCATATTTCCTTACTGGTTGATATTCTACACAACTTACTTTCCCTCATGCCATGGACATGGACGATTGATAGACCCACCAAGCAGGGCGTCGGCCTGGCGTTATGGATTTCAAACGCTACCAAACTATAATGATCATGAATTGTATTGTGGGGGATTTACACGTCAATGGAGAAAAAATGAAGGTAAATGCGGAGAATGTGGTGATGCCTGGGATTTACCTGTACCAAGGCCTCATGAATATGGTGGCGCCTGGGGCAAAGGAGTAATTGTAAAGAGATACTTACAAGGGTTACAAATACCTATACGCGTTGAACTTACAGCAAGCCACATGGGGTACGTAAAAACAAAAATAATTCTAAAGCCCTGAAGTAATAGTTCATTAATTGTTAAGTATGAAATTAATAGTTTTTGTGTAAAAAAAAAAATACTTTTCCGTGTTTTAAGTAATTCTCGATATTTCATTTTGAATTTTGGAAAACCAACCATTTATAATCAGCGACCTCAAAAACCTCTCCAGGAATTAGTTTCAAGTGATTTTGATAAATTTAAAAGTGTTGAATGCCATATTGGATCTACCGTTTTGAAGTTTATAAAAATGATTTTGAATTCGTAATTAGCGACCACGAGTTCTCTGACTTCCAAGTGGCTCCTAAGCTTTTTGATAGAGAAAATGATGTTTTTTTGTAATAGACGAAAAAAATATAAAATAGCGAATATTTTGAAAACTGGAGTATACTTTAAAAAACGGCTAAAGCCTTTGACTACAGCGAACTCGAATTAGGTTTACCTTACAGGTACCCAAACGTCCGATCAAGTGTTTTGCGTGAAAGACTAAAGCCCACCGTCAACAAACTGATTGAACCTTAAAAGTGTGATTTTAGACCTGGTAAATCAACCACTGACGCGATATTACATGCGCCAAATTTTGGAAAATACCCATGAACCGAGATTTACGCACATCACCTTTTTTGTCGATTTTAAAGCCGCCTTCGATACCACGAACAGAAGTTGCATCTACGCCACTATGCCGGAATTTGGTATCCCCACAAAACTAGATAACAAAAGAAGCGCAGTTAGCATTGGGAAGGACCTCTCCGAGCCGTTCGATACCAAACGAGGTTTCAGACAGGGTGGTTCTTTGTCGTGTGATTTCTTCAATTTGATGCTGGAGATAATAATGAGAGCTGCAGAACTGAATGGACAAGGTACGATCTTCTATAATAGTGTAAAACTACAGGCGTATGCGGATGATATTGATATCATTGGCCTTAACAACCGCGCCGTTAGTTCTGCCATCATACAAACAGTCATCGCTTTCGCGACTTGTTTCTCTCGTCACTGTTGACAGTTGTAACTTCGAGGTCGTTGGTACAGTATCTGCTGGTGGAAGCAGGAAGAAATCCACTCAGTTCGAAGGATCAGGTGGAGAGCGACCTGGTTTCACTTGGTTTTCCAACTGGCGCGAAAGAGCAAAAAGAAGGTATGAATGGCGTGCTATAATTGATTCGGCTATAATCGCGTAAGCGGTGCCAACGCCAATAAAGATGAAGAAGTTAGGTGCCCCTTTTGTGAAAAAAAGCTCCAAATTCAAGCACAGCCCAATGCTGCTTAGAAAGTATAAATTCAGAGACTAGTTTTTTCTTGAAAGTCAAAAATCCATTGAGAAGACATTTCGTAGAAAATAATTGGAATGTCGACTTTATTACATACAATATTTTTCTAGAGGTCGGATTTGGTCAATTAGGGTTAAAATCTCTGTCTCAATATGATTTAAAGATAGATCTTTTTTTTTGTATATGCGAACTATTTTTTAAAATAAACTTAATAAAAACTTATTATACATACAATTAACCGTTTTATTTTTCAAGTTATTTTGAGTTTCGCATTTGCCCACAACCAGATGCAAGGCAGGAATGTTTGGATCGTTATTTGTTAAAAATTATAACCGGATCACCTAATCAACCAGCGCCAAATGATCTCGAAACAAGGTTTTATCCGAGAAATGGGAGTAGAATATATGAAGTCATCGCCGCTCTTCCCAAAGGTAAAAAACTATATTTTACTAAAATAATTTCGTAATATAATTTGTTTTTAAGGTTTGGCATGCAATCATTGTGTGCTACAATGGCGGTATATCGCAGGTAATAATTGGGGAATTTGCGCCGATGGAAATGGTGCTGTTGGCTGTGGACCCCAAGAAGAATTTCGGGCTTGCTCAGATATCGCGTTATATGATAAAAACTCGACTCCTAATACATTTGATCAACCGATAACTACAGAGCGAATTGAGGATGACGAAAACCACAAGGAGTTTACAGAAGGATTCAATTATTCAAAGATGATAATTACGTTGATTTTGCTCATTTTGTTTGTCGCCACTGCTACTATTGCATATATTTTTAGAAAACAAATTTTAATCTACATAAAGTTTTCAATGAATTCAAGAGTTCGAAAACGATATCCAATTTCCATTAGTAATATATCATCTAGCACGCCCCAGCCCACTGCAACAGTTCCTATTGAAGAAAAATTAAATATTGTGGAAAATGAATCAACTTTGAGACCGCCAGTACCAGCACCTAGATTAAAAAGAAAATCTCCGAAATAGACTGATACATTACTACGAAATATTTATATATATAGTTTTAAAAATAAATAATGAACCTTTTTATCGATTTCAAACATAATTTTAAAAAAGAGTATGAATAATTGTTTCAAAGGCAAGATCGGTCGATCGCACCTTTTCTCTTCACTTCAGAAATCCTCATCGTACCACTGCTTCCTTTGGCCCAAACTAGTAGTTTCGTTTGCCATGAATATGGAAAATTCGACTGTGCGCCGAAGAATCCTTGACATTAAGTTGGCCAAGCAAATTTTTGTCATCGGGAAAGGCATTTTTGATCACTTCGTTCATATCTCCCATTGGGGCGTGATCAAAAATTAGTGACACGTTGAAGGACTTCACAGATTGTGGAGAGACGTTCTTTAGCCGGCTTTGTTTCGAAGCGTTTTTTTACTAAAAAAGTACTACAACAAAAGAAAAATTGCGCTTTGGTTACTATGACTTTTGCATAGAAAAAGCGATCAGTTAACCAAAATTGAAGGGCAACGGAAATCTTTCGAGCAGTGACTTGATCTTTCATATACCTCTGAACTTCGATGATTGCCCCCGGTGTGCTAGCGTATTTTGTGCCAATGTTTGAAACTTTATATTGAGAGATCTGATGCAGATCTAATGATGAAGCTGTGAGTTGCTCATTTTGCTGATTTTCATCTTCTCGGCTTATCTCGACAGTGTAGCAGGTTCTTTTTTACAGTAGGTGCTACTGTATACTCGGAAAGGGCAAACGCTTTAAATTGTGGATCAAATAGTATCCATTTCACTGGAAAAAAATGCAATCGTAACTGAATGACTACTAGAAAACTGATAATCAGGATTTGGTGCTTTCACAAACTAGCGGAATACCTCATCTTCTATAATGCTCAACGGCTGTAATACCTTTGGTAGAGAGTCATAGATTGTCTGTCGTCCATCTTTGTGGTATCAAAATCAGCATTATTTTTTTTGTAACCTAAAAAAGTGGTACCTAAAAATACAAGGAATAATTGTTAAACTGATTAGGTCCAATTAGTTTGTTAACGGTGGGATTTAGTCTTTTACACAAAATGCTCGATGGGATCTTATATGCGAAATTAAGGAGGCTATGGGCGCTGTGGAATTGCTCTTTTTGGGATTGGGCAAGGCACACTTAGGTCCCAATCGTCGGGCATGCTTTCATCCGACCATATTTTGCAAAGAAAATGATGTAGGCACCTTATCAGTTCTTCACCGCCATGTTTAAATAGCTCAACTGGTAAGCCATCGGCTCCAGCATATTTGTTTTCCTTTAAGCGAACAATTATGGCCGAGTAACGAAGCGTCTATTCCATCATAATCAATTTGTTCCCTCCATAAGTTCAGTATACTCTGGGCATCAGTCGTTAGATCAACTCTCTGTGAGCTACAAGAGTTTATTCGGTTTTTATCTCACTCCTGTTTTCTTCACAAAGGGGCATACCAAGTTGTGTTTGCGCTCTTTCCGAACACAAATAGCTTGATCGCATACATCTACATTAAGACATCTGGCCTAAAAAAAAGCTATTAACTTCTTATACATATACATTGTATAAGAACAAAGCCAAAGTCTCTTTTCTCTAAGCCAATTCTTTTCAACAACTAAACTCATTTTATTTGTAATGTATAACGGGTATATAGTATATACACAATAAGTAAGTTTTTTAATGTCGATTTCCAATTTCTCAAGAGTTGGTGGTTTATCCGCGTTCGAACGGTCTTAATGGCTCCTCTTGAATTATTTAGGGATTCTCGGAGCTCAACTTAAAGCACTGATGTGCTTCAACTCTGTGTGGATAGAAAAGTCGTGCATTATTTTAACATTAATTGATTGATTTATTTACCATAATTAGAATTATCCGAAACGTTTTGCTGGAAAAATTTTTTGCCATGTAATGCTATGCCTGTTTCATAGAAAACTTTGTTCTCATTGGCGAAAAATTGTGAAAATCGATTTTCACAGGTCAATTCTTCATCATTTGACCACAAACATATTCACATTTTCAGCTGCCAGACTTGCGTTTTCGACGTTATCGAAAAAAATTTATAAAACATAGTATATTTTCTCTTTGCTAGTGTCTACCTTTAACATGCGCTCAAACACTACTGATATAAGTGAGCAACATTTTTCTTTATCTTTCTCTTGCCATCTAGAGATACAGATCACTAAAGCCATCTACTGCAAAAATAATGGACTACCTTCTGCTATAGCTGAAATAAATAATATGTGGTAAACTAAAATAAAAGCTGTCATTTGTTAAATTAAAATAGGTAACATTTTTTATTCTCGATAAATTATAAAATACGTACATAGGTTTGTTAGGCATTTGATATTATAAAAAATATATATTTTGTCATCTTATAAGACAGTGTAATAATATAATAAAATAAGCAATTGTATAACCATACTCGAAACGCGAGTGGTTTTATTTCATATTAAATATCTGCATTTCGTATAAAAAATTTAAATTGGATAAATAACCTAAATATTGCACTTTAAATACATATATATGTGAAATATATCATTCAATACAAATATCCCCAGGGCTTGGAAGGTATTTACGGTTAGTTATAAATATTTAGCTGAAATACCGTTAGTTATATATTGTACATACTTGCCTTGCCCACTTTTAATTCGTAATACAAGTTTTTTGTTATTATACATACAAATTTACCCTTTATATTGTCTCTCACAATTTAATATTTAGTGAAAATACTTGCTTTAAGGGCTTGGAAATTTATTTCGATGTGAATGTTTTTTAAATAATTCTATAGTTAAAAAGAACTGAGTTAAAATATTGACCCAAATTAAGACGTGGGACTCAAAATTAGAATTTATGTAGCAACGTCTGTTGCGTCAGTTACTGTTTACATCGGCCCTTCAAAGAAGAGTCCAGGCCATACTTTTCTAATGTAATGGATTTCCAAATATGTTCAATTTTTGTTTTGTATTTTGTTTATAGAGAATTGATGGGGCTTATTGCAGGACTTGATCTTATTATTCTCGAACCGATTTCTTGTAAGTTTTGCTGTATAGAGGGTTGCATATGGGAAGCTGTTCCTTAAAACATAACCAACAAATATTTTAAAATTACATGCGATACTAACAAAGGAGTTATCACCGATAAATGGGATTTAAGATAATAATAATATAAATTTATGGACGGAGTATGAATTAATTTTGGTAATTTTTTAATTTGAGTAGTATTAAGTACATAATTACAACGGTAAGTTTAAATAAATATATCAACAGAACTCATATGTGCACGATTTAATAGTGGTTAGCACCACAACATTTTATATATTCAATTGGTGCATAGCATCTTAAGCTACTTTTTGCCGATTTTTGATTCCAGTTTTGATATTTTTTCAAAAGGATAAAGTAACAGTACTGTTATATATTATGCGAATTAGGAAATAAAAGAATTAAATTTATTACACTACGCGGTTTTATAAAAAAAATTGTGTAACGATAAATTAAAGTGCACATTTCCCTTATTAACCTGTCAATCCAGCTAGTAGCCGATTTGCAAATGTTCGCAGCTGTAAGGGATCACCCTCATTAAAATCATTGAAGATCAATTCCATTTCCTTTTCCAAACCATCCGATATTGTAGTAGTTATCCGATTTTTGAATAAGTTCGTAATGGGTGTTAAAATTAAACCACTGAGCTGCCTTATGATCTGAATTTCATCCAATTGCACGTTTATTTTTCTGCAAATACATAATACAATAATTATTAAGCGATATACTCAGAGTTTAATGCATTTTGTTTACGCAGTCCCAAATAAGATATCCTATTGTTTCGGTTGCACGAGAGAAAGAATGATTGTAGAAAAATGCCGAATAATTTTGCCTGGTTCTAATCCCAAATTAAAATTAAGGTGTCGTCAAATTGCATGTAAAACTTACAAAATTTCGGAATTTATCATAATTCCAAGAGAGGTCACACGTAGGATAGAAAATATAATGGAATTGAATTTCAATTATTGGAGATAAGTAATTCCCTCATAATCTAAATCTTCTTTGACAATATACAAATTCTTCGAGAATAATTTTAAGGGAAATACAAACTGCTGGTGTATAACGAGCAATTGGAAATTTAGTTTCAGAAATCAAATTGCAGAGCCTAGGATCAGGGTGATCACACGACAAATTAGAAATTTTTTCTGCAAAAAAATCCGTAAAGGAAAAACAATTTGACTATATTCAAGAAGTTTGATTGCTCATACATTCAATATATAAAATGGGAAAGTGTAAAGTTTTAATATAGTAGATTACATATTTGATTTCTTAGGTAACATGCCCACCGAATTTGATAATCATATGTTGATAATGTGTGTATTCAAAAGATCGTTATTTTTTAGTAAACTACAAGTGAGCTTAGATATCAAATTTAAAACTTTCACCTAGCACCTAACTAAATTCCAACGGTTTTGCTCAAAATTCAGAGAAACGTAACTAGCGGTTGGTGCCCATCCTCAAATTCACTTGCTCATTACATCCTTATAGTATTTTCTCTCCTTCAAATAGCATTCTCTCTTTCAAACAGCTTGTGTGTGAAAAATATGAGTCTGGTTACTTCTTAAAGCCGTTTTTTCGAGCGCATTTTAAAATTGAACTTCTCTTTAAACGTGATTTCGTTTTCTCATCTGCCTCTGACGGCGACATCTCTCCGTTTATAAACAGAGATTTACAAATTTATTTATTTTCTTTTACAAAAACATATAAATATAATGGAAAATATACCCGGCTTTTATATTCATGCGTTTGATGTAGATTTATTGACGTTTAGAACAGCTGATTTAAATTGTTCTTTTCTTCCTCTTCGAAGCACTGCTATCTTTTATCTAATATTAAATAAACATTTAACAAGAGGTCGAGAAAATATAAACGTATTCATCATATGGTTAAATTTAACTGCCTGTTTCGTGATCCTCACATTAACAGGCGTCCAAAGAAACGGTCTTTAGAAGTAACCAGTCTTTAAAATGAATACTGTCGAGCTGCTGCTAGAGTATAACCCAATAAACGAAACGTCATTAAACTCAATTCAGTTCATAAAACATATAGAAATGCTAAATTGAGCTTATACCGGTGATCAAATATTTAAACTTGCGCAACAAAAACAACGAGGATCCGCAAAAATATGTATTTATATAGAGCCGTGTGTTTTCGTAAGTTGGTGACAGTTTGTGAATAAATTTTTGGCTGATTTCTAATGTAAATTATAATTTTCACCTATGTATTATAAATATATGAACAATAATAGGCCTTTAATTAATGAACAGAAAAATTGGTTGGCTTTAGAATTTTTTTCTTACTTTCACTTATTGTTTTATTTATTTATAAGCTTTTGTTTCTGTACAGTGGTCTAGCAAATATTGGAAATTTTAACACGTTTGCTATTTAAGTTGTCGTCTTTCTATCGTTTTGTGATATTAAACACTTTTAATTCATCTGGGATAGGAAATATTTTCGGTGTAGCGAAAAGAAATCCATTATGCTTCCAATGGATTTTGTTATTTATCTGTATCTTGCGTTGTATAAGTCCGATCGGGATCGGTTGGATGGCGTTAGGAAGATGACATTTCGTACTAAAAACAGTTGAGAGTCTTGTGATTGGTTTTGTTTGAGCGTGCGTCAAAGATTGCCACTAGTAAATAGAATATACGCTATATCTTACAGTTTAGTATTGATACTGTAATTTCGATGTAAAAGAAGCACCAAGTATTGGAAGGCCAATTGTCGAAAATGTCGATAAGATCATGGACATTGTCGAATCCGACCGTCTTTTAAGCACTGTTTCGATTGCCCATGAGATAAAGATTGTTCAAAAACCGTTTGGAACCATTTTAACAAGGCTGGATACGCAGAAAAAAAGCACGGTGTATGGGTGCCACATGAGTTAAAGCAAAAAAAAAGCTCATGTACCGATCTTCCATCTGCGAATCGCTGCGCAATCGCAACAAAATCGACCCATTTCTAAAGCGGATGGTGACTTGTGATGAAAAGTGGATCACTTACGACAACGTCAAGCGAAAACGGTCGTAGTGGAAACGCGGTAAGCCAGCGGAAACAGTGGCCAAGTCAGGCTTGACGACCAGGAAGGTTTCGCTGGGATTGGCAGGAAATTATCTACTATGAGTTGCTCCCATATGACAAAACTCTTAACTCGGAACTGTACTGGAACGTCTGAAGAAAGCAATCGCCCAGAATTGGTCAGCTTTGGCCAATAGGAGAGGAATTGTGCTCCATCAGGACAACGCGAGGCCACACACATCGATAGTGACTCTACAAAAGCACCAAGTGACTACCTTCTGTCCATGACCATGACGGAAAGTTTTTTAAGACTTAAAACTATGAACTTATACTAAGAATAAAAAGTATTAAGGATGGAACCAAAACGAGATTTCGAGAATGTGAAATCAAGATCAAGTCTTCTAGAGATTATATTAAATTCAGAGAGTGCTCTAAGAATAATATCGTAATTATGATAATTGACTTTGATCACATCTAATTAGAATGGATAATGAGAGCGCAAAGTTCTAAGAGGAACATTAAAGCTAATTTGCTCAAGCAGCTCTGGACAGTCTACCAAGCGTTGATGATGTCATAAATAAATAGTAATGACTGGATAGATTGTCGAAGAGCAAGAGGTTTCAGATTTGAGAAGTATAAGAAGTTAGGGGATCAGAGAAATGAAGCGCAGCAAGAGCGAAACGAATAAACCTACGTTGGACGGTTTCAAGTCTAGAGGAATGTCACCAATTTAAAGAGGTGTTTAATTTACAATTTAGTAATAGCAACTTTCTTCGGACACTTTGAAAAAATATTAACCTAAATGTGAATGATCGCTGGGTTATATATATATACTTTCAAGTCCTAATGTGTCCGGTGTTTTTTTTTAATTTTGGTATATTTTTTGATTATAGTATATATTATTATATATATTATATATTAAGATATAAATTACTATTAGTTTTGAGCAAATATTTTCATAATTCTATTCGTAGTCTATGAAGGAGAAAATTAAGAATGCTTGATAAGAGTATACAATGTACTCTTATTAACATTTTTATATTTATTTTAATAACAATAACAAAGCATTAGTACAATAAGATTTCCATATCCTTTAAAATGCATATATATGTGGTTCTTGAAATTGCTTCTGTTTAATTTCCTCCTTAAATTAGCAGGAAGAGAGTTCCATAATCGACTAGCATTGACAAAGAACAGCCTTATTTGATTGCTGTGATCTATGAAAAGGTATTATTATATTACCTACACTGGCTGACCGAGTAAACGATAACTTGAAAAAGGGATCACTAGGTGATTGAGTCAAGATGAGTTTGCAAAGAAAAATACAATTTCTGGCTTTATGATAGTCCGCAATCGTACATCCTAATATCTGATCTTTCCAAGACGAAATGTGCTCATATTTGGAAAGATCAAACACATACCGTGTGACATTATTAAACATAACGTCAATTTTGCGAGCAGAAAAACTGTCATGTTTGCTGTATACGACTTCAGAGTACATGATGACCGGAAGAATAATTTGTATAGCAAGTCGGCGTCTGGTAGCAGTGGGTGTATAGATAGCTGACTGCCTAAGATTCCTCAGAATGAGATAGACCTTACTAACTATGGAGTTTACATGATCCGTGCATGTAAGATTAGAGTTAATAATGTATCCTAAGTTTTTAATCTTGCTGACTAATTTTAAGGGACAATTGTCTATGAATATTCGGGGCAAAAAAATGTACAATGCACAATGGTAAAGGTTTCTCATTTCAGGACCTTCTGTAGAGTTTTTTTTAGAAACCATAGAAGGGATATAGTAATATTAATCAAAATTTTATTTGATGGCTCCCCTGGTTTTGTTATTTAAATTTGAATTTTCATTTCCAAGTTTTAACATTTTTCATTATTACATGGTGTTACATATGCTTTTGTTAATAATTCGTTTACCATCAAGTTGATCCATGTTAATGCTGAAATGCAGTTTTGGGTTATAAGGTTTTAGCTTTTAAGATATATGCACATTAAGACCAGAAAGTTTCCAGAAATTGTCATTTAAACTTCCCGCGCTGAATATTTTTCAGCACTTTTTTGTTAAGTTGATAGCACTGTCCTTCATTACTATGCCAAAAATTATCACGATTGGTCTACCAGCTTGTTTGCTGCAACTGGTGAAATCAGTTGACCTCAGGATCTCAATTCCTTCTTCGAATTTACTTCTACGGCCTCAATCCAGTCGAAGCGGGGTCCACGTGGTGGTGGTAACTTGCGTTTAGAGAATACGGTGGTTGATCGATGGTATTGAGCGAGCTTCTGGTCGGCCGTTTACGACAAATGCTTCAGCGCAAACGCTCAAATAATACTCTTATTTACCGTCTGTCCCGTTGGAACGAATTCATGATGAACGAAACCGCGAATATCAAAAAAAAAAAAAAAAATTCCGGAAACTTTCTGGTTTTTATGTATAACTTATTGGTAGACTCCTTATGTCGATGCAGATTTAATAAATAAATTCAAGTGAAAATGAAACTAAGAAAAAAAATTGTCATTCTCTTACTATTTTGTCTCCCCTGCTAAGATTTCTGTTGTGTACGTATGTACTATATTTACACACAGAAAGGTGCCGCGGCATGTTATACGGCTTTATTTTTTATTTATTTTTATTTAATATTAATAACAAAGCATTAGTACAATAAGATTTCCATATCTTTTTTAGTACAACAGAGATAGTGTGAAGAATAAGTAAATATTACTTTACAGATACCTTAACAAAAATAATAATAAAAATAAAAATAATTATAATATATAATGAGTTAAGTATGACAAAAACTTAAACAATTATTGAATGGTCAGTCNAAAAAAAAAAAAAAAAAAAAAAAAAAAAAAAAACTGCTACTGGTGCTGTTGCCGCAACTCAAATTTCAGACTCGATACATTTACTTACCTAAATTTTACAATACGGAAGTTTTGTAAGGTTAAATTGAGATTTTTAACGTCTATTGCGATATTTGTATGGATAATCGTATCTTCCAAGGTGCCAATTACATTTCCGTATCCATTAATCGGTATAATTTCCAGTAAATAGTTGTACTCAAACTGAAAATAAAAAAATGAGTGGTATGAATTTTTTGTAAACGTATTGTCGCTTCCGCAAATAAACTATTATTGAGGGATATTGCCTCTTACCCCTACATTCACGGACATATATTTTTCTCCTAAGTGGTATCGTCTGTAGTAAGAGTATTTCGGCCGCGGGAGCCGAGTGGTTAGTATTATGTACTGTCAATACTGACCTTTCTAACTAGCTCATATAAATACATACATACTTCCAACATATCTATGCATCTGTTCGCGACTCGGCTCCCACGTCATTGTTGACAGTCATGACTTTGAAGTCGTAGATAACTTCGTCTATCTTGGAACCAATATTAACACCAACAATAATGTCAGCCTTGAAATCCAGTGCAGTCACTTTTGCTAACAGGTGCTACTTTGGACTGAGTAGGCTGTTGAAAAGTAAAGTCCTCTCTCGGCGAACGAAAATCAAACTCTACAACTCTCACTTCGTTCCCGTCCTGCTGTATGGTGTAAAGGCATGGACGATGAGAGCATCTGATGAATCGGCGTTAGAACTTCTCAAGAGAAATGCTTGACGTCCGATTTATGGTCCTCTACGATATTGACATAGTTCAGTGAATCAAGAAACAACGGCTGCTCTGGCTAGGTCATGTGGTCCGGATGGATAATGATACTCCAGCAAGAAGAAAATATCTCTATTCTAAATATTATTCATAACATAAATATGCTATCGCTCTACGAAAGTTAACGGCACATTTGCCAACCTATACCCTAAGACGTAATAAGGGACAGTAACTCAAAATCTGATCCAAGTTGGCATATACCAGCTAAAATCGACATGCTACATAATTTGGAGTGACATACTGCTGCAAATTGTGGTGGAAGGTGTACAAAAAATCTGCAGGACAGTACTTGCACAAAATATATTACTCGGAACTGTTAACAATTCAGGAAATCATAGGAAGAGGAAGACATTTATATTTTATAAAGTTCTCGAAAACATTCACAAGCAAACCACGATTCACCACCAAAACGGGCGAAGCATTGTGAAACTTCCATTCAAGGTAGATTTCTCCAACTGTCCATTGCGTGTTAGAATTATTTTTATGGTTAGATTCTGAGATAAAGCTGTACATGACGTTCTTTTGCAAAGGAAATTTGATGCTTCAAATGGTCAAGAATACTTCATTCTGAAATCTCTAATTAAAAGGTTCGTTACACACTCACACTCCGATTCTCCACAACGGGAGTAGATTTGCAGGGTTTTTCCAGTTTATGCTTCAGCGTTGAGATCAGTCCATTTTTAAAGGCTATGTTGTAGTCTTCGTCTGCTTGCATGAAAGGAATTGAGCCGACGAATATTTCCATTCAAAACTATGAACGATAACTTCAGCAGCAGTGAAAAGTTTAAAAACACTTACTGCGAATTGGGGCAGTTCTCACTTGCTTCTGGTCACTGCATACAATACGCTTATGGACATTACCGAGCCAAAAGTGATGGATTTTTCACTGACCAAGCGATGGGAAAGATAGAAGTACTTCATCACGAATTTAATCGCCACTGGAAGGTGGAGTATATCCTTACCATCCACCATGGACCAGATTGGTCGATCTGTCTTTTCGATGTATGAACGAAAAATGCGGTTGCCGCGCGATCAGTTGCGAAGTTTTGTCTTTTCTCCAATGGACTTTCCTTGTTTATAGAGTATCATAACAATTACAAGTAAGGAAAAATATTGATCCATGTTCCAGAAATGAAGTGGAATGAATATGAATTGAAATTCGAAAAGTATACTTCGCATATTGAGTGTATAGCAACAGCAAATTGAAGTTTCAAACATCTTGGTCAGAGAAAAAATCAAGAAATCAGAATATCGTTGCAGTATTTATATGTACATATATATTGTACAATTGTGTAAATTAATAAAATTATCCAAAATGAAATTGTGCATTCTACGATTACCTATGAAAACTTGGGTACAAATTGAAAAAATTGCATATATATTCCGAATTGTTATACGATGATGCTTAATGTACGGAATTATTCGAACGAAATAGCAACTGAATGAACGAATGAACTGCATAATGTAATTTGATAAATGAACTAATTCGTTTGATCATTTCTCAGCGAAATTACCCAACTCAGATTTTTATGCATGTTATTTTAGCTACTGCATAAGTAAATTACCTGTAGTTTACTAATTTTTATATCAAACCGAATATAAAAGCGCTTATCGTTGTATGTCATAAAAGCGTCGCCGTATCGCTCCACTCCTTCCAGGTTATACGCAATGCCGTTGTTCAAAATCAAACGTGCTGGACTCACAACCACTAGCAATGACTGTAAAGAGTGATATAAAAATATAATTTTAAAGGCTAAAGAGTTTTAATATGACACCTTAAATACAAAAATGTAACAACTCAAAGAACTGCCAAGAGACATACGAACAAATGATTTTTAAGACGTGATATCTAGCATTACCTCTGTTCGGTGAGAAATTTTAGTATAGTCGAGTCCCGTTTATTCGATACAGCAAGGGGATAAAAAATAATATAGGCGTGTACATTCATTTGTTCGTTTTACAAATTTATGATATATTAAAAATTAAAAGGAAACATAAGATTATAATAACAAAAAAACAAGCTAAAGAAGTAGTTCTCTATAGCTTGGTGTTTTTTCTCTTAGTTTTTCTGTTTCGTTCTCCAAGCTGATTCTCCCCTCTCGAAGATTCCCACGGCCGACTCAACAGAAGCGCGCACGATAGTAGGACGGGTATTGTTTGCCAAGAGAGGAATTTACTTTTCAATTGTCTACTCAGTTCAAAGTAGCACCTGTTTGCAAGAGTGATTCTGCGTTGGATTTCAAGACTGACGTTATTGTTGGTGTTGATGCTGGTTCCTAGAAATTATTAACCATTTCCTTGGTATGATAAAGCGGAATACAGCCACCATTATTTGCCCCTTAATGGAACTTTGGGCCAATTAGTCTTACCTCTTTCCTCTTAAAAATCTTTGAAAGGTTACTTGACAGCTACATACGCCTGAATCTACCCCCAGGGAGCCTCTCGAAGGAGGCCTCGAAAAAGGACTCAGCTTTAGAGAACATACGCTTGAAATATTGCTGGACATTGAAGGGGCGTTCAAAAATATTTTTCCTGCATTTGTAATAGAGGCTCTTCAAGAACTGGGACTCCAGCAGCCCATAGTAAATCTTGTAGGGTCGCTTCAGAGAAACACAATCATTTCGCAGAAATGGGCAGCGCCAGCATTACCAGACACACCACAAGAGGCACCCCTTAGGGAGGAGATTTATCGCCAATGCTGTGGTGTCTAACAGCGAACACGCTGATTAGGAAAGTGAACAACTCAGGATGTGGTTGATAAAATTACTTTCAGGAGCAAACTAGAGAGTGTCCAGCGATCGGCTGCTATCTTGGTAACAGAGGCAATTCCGTCAATTCCTTCGAAAGCCCTGTTTACTCTCAACTCAGATTGAATGCTACTCAATCTTGGATGATAGGGCACACCAAAATATTGTCTCTAGCAGAAGTGCCAAAGCAGCTAGACTACGCCACCTATTGCATGTGCTCCAAAAATCGTTTCTCCACGAGAGTCCCAAACAGGTGCGAGTGGGAAATTATCAACGCCCCCGACCAGGGAGCCATAGTGATCTTCACAGAAAGTGGGATGTGAAATTTATTCTCCCATGCTTTCATTAAATATGAGCATGAGATTATCAGGTCACTGTAGCGTTTTCCAGGCGGAACTCTTTGCAATCTGGAGGCTGCTGATTTGTTGCATAAATCTGTTGCAGCACGACATTCGGTTACAATATGCTCCGAGAGTCTAGCTGCAATCAAATCTCTCCAATGTATTGGCACCACGTCAAAAGTGGCCATAAATGTATGGGAGGGATATCACAGGCAACAGCATGGCGGACGAACTAGCAAGGGAAGGGATCCTTCTACCCATACGATGCTGGCTTACCTCTGTCCACGACAAAAGCACATGCTCCAACTGGCTGCATGGAGACCATCGAGCACTACCTCTGCCACTGTATAGCCTTGACGTCAGCGCCATACAAATTTCTCGGGAAACATTTCTTCGATTGTCTAGCTGAGATAGCCTCAGCGAATATTGGAAATCTCGTTGCCTTTTTAAGACACACGAAATGGTTCAATAATCTAAGAAGGCAGGAGCCTCAGCGGTATCACAATGGTGTTGAGTGGCAAAAACTCAGTTTTCACGTGGCTAAGATGAATAGCAATATAATTCGATAATATTATAATTTTCGATGCCATCCATCTTTACAGCAAATAATACGGTGACTCTTTCCTTACTGTGTTTGCCCTAATGACATTCTTCACTTTTGAGGCCAGAGACGCGTCTAATTAGCAGGCGAACTTTCGCCGCACATTATTGTAAATATGATATTATGTCGTGTTTAAAACGATTTTGCTTGCTTTAAAATCAGTTATGTTCATAGCTTTGGAAAAAAAAACTTTTTCTTTCATTAACTCTATCAAATGGGAAGTTCAGCATGTTTCTGTCCCTTTAGTTTACTAGAACAGGATGCTTTCATAATAAATTTTTTTTTGTAGGATTGATGGTATGGTTGGTGGAGCGACATTCAATAGTTCAGCCAATTTTATCAATGGCTGAAATAAAATATTGTTTTTGCTCGATTGATGATGTCTTAAAACACTGTGAGAAACACAAAACTCAACATGCACAGCGACATAATAGCGCCATGGCAGTCTGCAAAACTTAAAGGTGATTTAACGACAAGAGATTTAAAATTGTATTTCGAGTTTTAAGAGGTTACAAAATAAAGTTTTGTTTTTATAAGAGGTTCAACAGCGGGGAATTAGAGTAATATTAAAATTTTTCATTATAAATAATCTTTATTCTGGTGACAAAACTGGCTGAAATTTTCGTAGCTCGAATTTACAACTTTCTCTCCAAGCCAAACGTCAGAATTGTGCTCTCCCGTTACTAAGTTTAATGGGTTCTTGCCTCAGTAAAGTCAAAATTGTAACTGCTCATCAGATTACCGAATAAAGTATTTTTATTTAGAATGTTAAAGCATGATTTCCAATGGTCCTTATATCGTGGTCGGAAAGCTATAGAAACTACTTTTGAAACAAGTTTCGTGGGTTGTGAGCTTTTCGCACCGACTTTTAGTGATTTCGTTGACATATTTGACAGCTTTTGTTTTCATTTATATTAAGCTTCTACATTAATCGGGATGGTTTCTTTTACAAATTATCTGGCCTACATTTGAATATGGACTGCTTCGGACATAGACATTTGTATTTATGTTGCACGTTCTGGGCTGGAAGACCTTTTAACTGGTGGAAAACCGAAAAATGTTGTATGCTCACATAAGAAGACAGGCACAGAGGAGTCATTTAGTCGAAGCAATGTTACATCAAATCAATCAACCCTGCTAGGTTTTATAAGAGCACTAGGGCTGGTTGAAATACTGTGAAGAAATCGAAGGGCACAATAGGCCACTGGTCACGATGCATATCCCCCTAACAAAACTATATCTATATCAATGTATGAGGAAATAAAATTAATATGAAAATGAGTACATATATCTAATGTTTAATTTTCCATATATTCATTGAGTAGGCGTCGCAGCGATACATTGCAGGGTGCAGCAGGGGTATAATATCCATAGTGAACGCAACAATGTTTAGAGCAGATAAAAGATGGTAATGTTGTTAATCTATGGGGGCTAAAATACTTATCAAACAGTAAAACCTGATAGAAACTGGAATTTAAAGTATCTTAAAATAGAATTAAATATTTGCAAAAGTTTAAGAATTTTATAAAGGAATGACCCAGTTTTTTTTTATTAATTTTTGTTAAGCGATCAGTTCCAGTAATTTAGATGTTTTTATTATTTAATTAGGCTTATCTGATCTGGTTTGTCAGTGCAAATAAAACTAATTTATCCACTTTTTGGTCAACATTTCCCTAAATAATTTAGCATCTTCAGGGGCTCCTGCTTATTTATATTGAAACCTGCTTATTAATATACTGAATATATAAAAAAAAAAGGAAAACTTACTAATATCAAAAAGCTTGCAATTATTTAATATGCAATGTCATTAGCATTTGCATTGTTAAACATAACAAATATGCTGCTGCGATGTTGTCTATGTCTTCTTTTTTGTTTACTGTCTTGTTCCTCTTTTCCAAAACTCTGAGACTGCCTAATGTGTATCTCATATTCTCTCTTTTTTTCCCTGTCTAAAATCGTTACGTTATCAAAGTCAGTTGAGTGACCACTGCTTATTATATGTTGTGAAAGCGCTGTGCTATTTTTTTCTTGCTTATGTCGGCTTCATGTTCTGCTAAGCACACTCCCAAAGCCCAACGTTGTTTTGTTCCTGTGCGTTAATTGTTGTTTTTGTTCTTGCGAATCTTTGTGCGAGCGATTGATTTGATTTGAACGCCAATATTATGTTTTGTTCTTACTTGGTTTCATGACTTAATTTTTCACTGAGCTTAGGTATGTATGTAACGCTGCAATATTTGTTGTATTGGTTTGCCCAAAAAGTAATTGCGGATTTTTCATATAGTCGGCGTTGACAAATGTTTTCAACGGTTTGTGACTCTGTAGATGCATTCTTTCTTCTGTCAGTTATCAGCTGTTACTTTTAGCTTGCTTTAGAAAAAAAGTGCGCGAAATTTTGTTTACATTTGTTTGTTTGGCGTCAATTTTAATATGGAGCCCACAAAGGAGCGTTTTCGTCATATTTTACTTTATTATTTCCGTAAAGGAAAAAACGCGGAGCAGGTTGCTAAAAACTTACGAGATGTGTATGGTGATGAAGCCTTAAAAGGAAGACAGTGTCAAAATTGGTTTCGCAAATTCCGTTCTGGAGATTTTCCACTTAAAGATGAGCCACGTTCAGGTCGGCCAAATGAAGTTGATGATGACCAAATTAAAGCATTAATCGAATTGGATCGTCATGTAACTGAGCGTGAGATAGGAGAGAAGTTAAATATACCAAAATCAACCGTTTATTATCACATAAAAAGTCTTGGACTGTTGAAAAAACTTGATATTGGGTACCACATGTATTGAAAGAAATTCATTTAACACAGCGAATCAACGCTTGTGCACCTTGAGCGCAATGAATTCGATCCGTTTTTAAAACGAATCATAATTGGAGATGAAAAATGGATTGTTTACAACAACGTTGGTCGAAAACGATCATGGTCCAAGCATGGTGAACCAGCTCAAACCACTTCAAAGGCTGATATCCACCAAAAGAAGGCTATGCTGTCTGTTTGGTGGGATTGGAAGGGTGTCGTATATTTTGAGCTGCTTCCAAGGAACCAAACGATTAATTCGGATGTTTACTGTCAACAATTGGAAAAATTGAAGACAGCCATCAAGGAGAAGCGACCAGAATTGGTCAATCGTAAAGGTGTCATATTCCACCAGGACAACGCTAGGCCGCACACATCTTTGGTCACTCGCCAAAAAACTGAGTGAGCTTGGCTGGGAACTTTTGATGCATCCACCATAGAGCCCTGACCTTGCACCATCAGACTACACGCTATGAATACCAAGTTTGCCAGGAAGATGGCAAAAGGTTATCGAACAAAATGGCAATTATATATTTGATTAAAGTTCATTCTAAGTTTTATTAAAAATGCATTTACTTTCTTTTAAAAAATCCGCAATTACTTTTTGGGCAACCCAATATCTAGTTTTGATGTTTTGTTATTATTACTACGTTGTCTTCATGTTGTCTGCTGTATTAATTCTCGTATCAGCTTCTCAGGGTAGTTGTTGTTTTTGAGCATAATAATAATAATTATATGTAATTTTTTTGTTGATCAAGAACAATTTTGTTGTCGTTTCTATGTATTTTTGTATCTAGAAATGCAGTATTTTTTTTCCACTTCCATCGTGAACTGGAGTTTCTTATGATATTTGTTGAGGGATTCAAGTATTGTTTTATTGCCTTTGTATTTTATAATAGCAAAAATATCATCTACGTATTTGGTTATGAATTTTAGGTCAATAGTGTGGTGCATTTTTAGATCTGCAATCGTGTTTTCTAGAAAGTCGTTCATTATGATGTCCGCAATTGTTGGAGAAAGTGGGTTTCCCATTGGCATGTCAAACGTTTTGAGCATAAAGCTTGTTGTTGAAAATGAAGTAGTTGGTGTCTTTGAGGCAAAAATCAAGGATTTGCTGAAATTTGTTTTTTGGTATATTGTTTTTTTTTGTATTTGGTCTCATTTTTGCATGATTAGCTTGGTAGCTAGTTTTGTTGGTATATTTGTAAAAAGTGACACAAGATCAAAAGATACTAAAACTCTTTGTCACTAATGTTGATATTGGTTAACTTATCTTGTAACTCGAAGGAATTTTTCACGTTGATTTTTTCGGAAATTAAAATTTCAGCGTTTCTCCGATATACTTAGACATTTTGTAACAGGGGACCATGATGAAAGAAACGAAGGGTTGTAAGGGAGTGTTTTCTTTGTGTATTTAGGGTAATCCATACAATCTAGGTGCAGTTGCTGCGGTGCAAGTGAGGAAGTGTTTCTCTCTTATGCTAAGAAATTTCGCCTTAAAAAGTTCGTCAATTATTTTGTTGTTTTTCTTCTGTAGAATATTTCTTGGGTCCGTTCTCATTGTGTTCATCTTTTCTATATACTCTGTTTTGTACATTGCTACTGTTTTATTGCCTTTGTCTGCTTCTGTTATCACAATGTTGTTTTGGGATTTCAGAAACGTTCTTGTTTTCTTGACAGCTGCTAAAATGAACTTTTAGGCATAATTCTGTTTTAAATTTCTTTTAAATGAGACGGTCCGATTGCTAAGTTTGTTTCTTGCTATTTCTTTGTCCTTTTCGTTATCCATGATTGCTATTTTTTGTTCCATTTCCGCGATCATGTGTACTGCAGAGAAACTTTCCTTTGTTGTTGGTAAGACGAATTTCTCTCCCAGTGAGAGCAGCCACCTCACTTCTTCGGGAAATTTAATGTTGGTTTTTTTGACGAACCAGCTTTCGTTTTTACATGTTCTCAATATTTTAATTTGCTCACTTTTCAACTTGTTTAGTTTGCTCATACATGTGTATTTCTTCTTCTGCTTGATGATAAATGAATCCAGTTCTTGGTTATTAAGATTGCATTTGAGTTGTTGTTGCGTATGGTGTAACAAATTCTTGATCTTTTTGATGTTGATGTTTGTTTGTGTTATCTTTTCTATTTGTTGTTTTAGTTGGTGGTAGTTGAGTTCATGTACAAATTTTTGATTGAGTTCGTTTCTGTTTATACTAACTTCATTTTATTAAACCTACTTATTTATGTGTCTTGGATCATGATTTCTGTTAAGTGATGTATGCAGCGATAACTGAGATGTTGGGGCTAATTTAAATGGTAGCGACAAGGTTGGAAAATGTTAGAACTTCTGATCTTTTGCTTTTATCCGCCACCACCTCTTCGTCGATTTTAAAGTAACCTTCCTGATCGCCGCTATGCTTGAATTAGGTATTTCCGCAAACCTTATACGGCTATTAATCTGGCTTTGACAGCATACCTAAGTACATTGAATTTTCTTCACCGTTTCCCGAAGTAAATGAATCAGCGACTATCAACGTATAGCCCTATTGTGATCATAAGCCTACATCAATATGCATAAATGGCAAATGAGAAAAAGAATAAAATATTTATTAATACAAACTTACAATCATTACGATTAAGCTGTAAGCCCATTTCCTATTTAAATATTACTTTTTCAATCGATTTATTCCAGTAATGCTAGCATGGTTCTGTCGACGAACCCAATGATTCCAGGCATACGAGAATTTCTGAAAAAATATCTCACTATTTTTATTGACATTTATGATGGTCCTAAAATTTCACTGTCAACAGTGAAGTGGCATCAAAGACCCGTGTTGACTGCATGTTTGACGTCAGGTGACATTTCTCCCTGTCGTTCACTACTAGACGATTCAAACAAATTGTTCTAACTTTGTTGTGTAACTGCGTTTTTAGGCGAAGGTGAGTGGCAGGCAGGCGTTGTTGATGCCCGGGCTGCTTGTTGGATGAACGGTTTTAGAGCCACTCCTCTCGCCGTCAGCTGCATTTAACAGAACATTGTCAAGTGCAGCACATCCCCTAACATGTACGGTCGATATCAGTATGTCTCCTGCCGTTCCTCATGTATTTTTTTAGCTTATCTGCCCTCGTTGCGCTGAGGCAACATTCACACCAACCTGAAATATAAAATATCCTACTCCATTATTAAATTATTTTCGATTTCCAAACATTTATTAGACACCAATATTATTATATATGTGCGTAATATAACTGTAAACACATTCATAAAAAAACTATACTTTTGCTAATTTGCATAAACTTCAACATGTTAGAGTGCATTCCTTATGGTCCTAATAAAAACTTCATTGATTTATCTGTTATTTTGAAGAGGGTGCCAATAATTATCAAAATTTAGTTTAATATATTCTTTTTCTTCTTTACTGGTGTGGGCTCCACTTACGCAATTATAGCCGATTCAACAATAGCACGCCATTTGGCTCTTCTTTTCCCTGTTTAGCGCCAGTTGGTATGGAAGTACCACGCAACACCGATTGCCAAATTCAGACATAGGGTATGGTGTGGCTGCTTTAAAATCAACCAAGAGGTGGTGTGTATCGATCCTCTTTTCACGAGTCTTTGTTAAGATTTCGTGCATGGTGAATATCTAGTCAATGATCAATTTACCAGGTCTAAAGCCGCACTTGTAATGTGAAATTAGTTTGTTGACGGTGGGCTTTAGTCTTTCACACAAAATGAAGGATAGGATCTTATATGCGATATTAAGGATGCTTATCCATGGTATTTGGCGTAGACAGTGAGATCACCATTTTTATAATTTGGACAGAACACACCTACACAATTCAAAGGCAGATTTATTGCAATCTCAAATAGTAATCTGTGTATCTAACACAATTTTTGCGTATTTTAAAGGAATACAATTTTTTTAATACATCCTAAAGATGGAAAGATTAGTGAAGATGGTCCTTATTATTGAATAATAGATCGAATTAAATTATTCATACTTATGCATTTATATTTAATACACCGAAGAAATAACAGGATTGTTTGAGGGCGGTTGATAACTTTCGGTGAACCGATTTTTGCTAGTAATAACCAAATTGTGATAAAAACAGCCTTGCCAATTGCTAATATTGCTTTACATATGCAAATTTGTAGAGCTGAATTCACCAACTTCTGTATTTTCGGTAAGCTGTCCACGGACAAGGGTAGAATAACAACATAAAAAGGTAGAATAAGGTAGGTAATATGGATATAATGAGCTACTAAATTCCACTATGTAGACATTTTTAACTGAAGGAGTTTAACAGTGCAGTTATTCATGAATTCTATTTAAATAAATTTAAGAGAAATTCTTACCAAGGATATCGATTCGACAACATCAGGCAAATTCAAATGTTCAATCTTCATATATTGTAAGTGATTTAAAAACATCGGAATCACAAAATCCACTTGGTCATTAATATTCGTCCAGCTGAGTTCCTTTGGAGCTTCATAACTCTCTTCGAACTGCTTTGCTTCCGAAGAATTTTGATATGATATAGTATCATTTTGGCTAGAGATAACAAGAAAGTGAAAATGAATTAATATTAAAACAAACAAATTGTATCCGCTTAAATCATAATTATCAAGAAAAAGGAGATCTGTTTGGCCTTGCTGAAGCCTTTATACCTTTCATGACCATATCAAATTTATTTGTCTGTTTGGTTTTTGTTTGTTTGATGATTGAACCAATATCTTTTACCTGAAAACTGGGTTTTAGGGAGCTATAAAACATGTATAATTTCGATGATTTTTTAAGCCAAGACAGACAGTTCTAATTGTCTAGATTACTCAAAGCAAGTACCTCTAGTTTATTGCATTTGTAGATGAAAAACCGAAACTTATGCATTTGACGTTGATTTTCCTTCATTGCTTTATAACCCTCATCATTGCTTCTGAAGGCCTTTGGCAAATCTTAATAGTCAAGCGTGAAAGGCAGCATTTTGGGATACTCGGTTATTCTACTATTTACTGTGGGATCTTATTATTTTTTCAATGAATTGTAATATTAATTTACTAAAATTTTTAATATTTGTTAATAACTTTATTAATTATTTTGCGAAAATCAAATGTTATCAAAACGAAATGAAATTGTTAATGTTGAAACCGCACAAGCTCATCGCTAACTTTAATAACTTTAATTTTAAAATAACTGCCTACAATGATATTGACAGTACACTTCAATTTTAACGATAAACATTATCTATTAACGTTTTAACATTACCAGCAGCATTCGTTTCGGGTAAAAACGAAATAAAATTTTGTTTGAAAACTGCTTTAACGATAATGTTTCTAAATGTTTCAAACGAATCGATTGAATTTGTTTGATTAACGTTAAATTTATCGTTACAATGCTCCCGATAGCTTCCATGCTCCTGTATACTTTAATATTTTTATAAAAGTTCACTTAATTTGTTCACCCTTTTGCGCACATTTCAGTTTGTGGTAAATCTAATTGGTGTAAAAATAGTTGTGCGAAAACACAATTAAATGTACATATAAATGCACATATATGTTCATAGTTTTGTGTTACGTATTACAACGATCAACTTGGCAGTTTTACATAGAACTGTTCACTTGTTGCGAAATTATTAAAATATTATTATAGTAAAAAGCGCACTTAGATTTAATTTGGAATGGATATGCATATATTTTTTTAATATATTTTTTATTATAATATATTGAATTTTTACATAAAACTTACCCGGTTTTCAATTCTAGAGCAACAACAGAATATTTAAAAATAATATTGATATACAATAGAATCCATCCTGACTGATTTTTCACTATCATTTTCTACTAAAATTTATTATCAAATCTGTTTATAATGCTTGCAAAATAAAATTAAATCTGAATGTGTGCTTGACAAAAGCTATTGAATGGAATGCGTTGCATTCATAATTAACACTATTATTGGTTCGAGCTCAGTTTTGCGTGTATCTATCAATAAAGACTTTAAACTTTGATTTCTTGTTTACTTTACATTCGTTCGTACAAATATATTCATGATTTTAATGCGAGTATATTTTTGTTGTAATACTGCGTCCGCACTTTACGCTCAATACATATGTATATTAGAAGGTAGGTAAAAACATTCGTTGTAGGAGTATAACCAACCAAATTAAAGTTTAAACGGTGAAATGCTATATGATCACTTGGTTTTACCCGCTACTTCGTCTACACGAAGTTTCCGAATGGCTGTAATAATGTTTTTAATGGCTTCTTTTTATTTATATAATTTTACCTTATTATTTATTTTATTAGCTTATTACCTTTGTACCAAAATTTATTTAAATCAAATGATAAATAAAAATTTTTCTATTAGATCGGTTCCAGATCCATTTCCAGGAAAAAAGTTCTCCATGTACCCAATTTCATCTAACTCGAACGATTATCGGATTGCTATGGGTTAATAGGTCAGTCATTCAGGACACAGTCTTGTATATATGTAGACTCACCACTGGTGAATTGGTGGGAAAAAGTCTAATATTCAATCCAAATGTACTTAGCCAGAATCTACATTAAAATCAAAGATAAATACTGAAATATTTAGTGTTTTTATTATAAAATTAGCCAAAAAGAAAAGAAGTGTTGTCTTCAGCCATGACGTGGCGAAGCTTTTGATTTGAACCTAAGTCTCATATTTGCAAAAAGGGGTTACAAATTGATATTGTGGCGAAAATGCCAACCACGAATGTAAAGTGAGAAGGCGAAGCGTATATTGAATGTTCGTTACAGCGAATATTTAAAGAACCTTCTAAACAAGCTTCCGATGTGAATACATTTTTTATATTCAGTTACACAACCAAAGACTACACAATTCATTTTCAAATCTTCTGTCGGTTATAAACACACACACACACATAAAACGAAAAATCACTTCTCTTCCTTGCCAGTCAAATCATTCGCCTAAGGGGGATGCATAAACCTTCAGATTTGAATTAAGAATTTGGCGGTTGGCGCGCTGCTCATGGTAATTGAGTACTTGCCAATCTCACCAAATACACACAAAGCCTTCTTGGCCGTCAAGCTTGACTTGGATACCGTTCGTGTTGACTCATGGCCTTCGACCACGATTGTTTTCGTTGTGATCCATTTTTCTTCATCATTTGTTATGATTCAGCAGCCATTAACTCATGTGACACCCGCACACCGAGCGTTTTCAAATTGTTCCAAACTGTTTTTTCCTCAATGTTTAGCTCCTGGGCAATCAATCGAGTGCTCACATAAAGGTCAGATCTACAATTTCCATTATTTTATCAACATTTTCGACAATTGGTCCCCTACACCGTAGAGCATATTCATCATCATGTGAAATGAGACGAAATCGTGTCGTTTCGGCGCCATGTTATTAAAAATAAATGAAATCATTCGAATTTTCGTTAATGTTAATTTCGAAGTATACTGGCAACACCGCAACGAAACAAACGACCGAACGGTTGTTTGTAAAGTTGTGCTCGTAATAATATTAGAAAAATTCAAAACGAAAATCGTTTGCCCTTATATGTATATGTAAATTCTTTCTAATAAGTTTCATTAAAATTACTAAAAATTTAATACTATTCATAACTGGCTTTTTAAACACAATTCCTTACTAGATACTAATCCATGCATACGATTGTATGTATGTAGGTATTAGTCATATGTACTAAATCACCAAATGAATATTGGGATTGCGAAATTTGTATCGTCCGCTCTTGCCAAACGTTTGCCAACAAATTCTACTCATAGTGGTGACTGGAAATAACCATAATATCTTAATATCATAATATATGTATAAATATGTGTTACTGCAGAAGTACCTTTAAAAGACATCAACAGATCTTTTTAAATGTCTTTTTCCAACGTCAATTGATGTTTTTGCTATTCTTAACAAATATTCTCCGAATACTTTTTCTTATGTTTCTTTGAACTGCTAATTTCTTGTAGTGGAGTTGCCAAACTAAAAAAAAACGATTCACGTTTTAACACTAACGACAGCATTTTGTTTCGGATAAAAACAAACATCTATTTATTTTGATAATTGTTTTACCGTTAATATTTCCAAATATTTAAAATGGACCATAGATATTTTTTGATTAACGAAAAATTTAATTTAGTAGACTTTTAAGCTAAATTTTCTAATTTCGGTTGCCCATCGGCAGGGAATGTATTCTGACATGATATGAAGCTCCTCATAAAAAAAAAGCTGTCAGTCGTTCGGAGGCGACTTGTGTATAAACTGTAGGTCCCTCCATTTGTTGGAAAACCATCAAGACGCAAAATCCACAGCGATTACAAAGCGTCAATTATATATATATGGAATTTTAATTATCTGGCATTGGTATAGTAATGGAAAAAAATTTACTGTCACTATATGCACGTTGGTAGAATGGTGTCCATGAAGATTGACATATCTCTTCGCAATCGATAGCCCAAATAGTGCCTCCAACAAAGGGCGACGTATTGGGAAATCTAATCTTCGCAGGAAACATTGAACGCTTGAATGCTACTGTCACGCAGTGAATATAAACAATAGCTTACTGAAGACTGGCTCATGGCTATTTCCAATGGCTCTCCAACGGGATAATGGTAGCATCCAGTTGCATGGAGTCGCAAGGCGGTTAGAACCTTCAAACATTTTAATATTCCATATATTATAATAAATATATAAATTTTATATTATTACCTGTGTCTCAGTAGATAATGCCGTTATTTTTTTGTCTTTAAGTTGGCTATCAAAAAACTCAGTTGCATTCAAGTGAAAACGATCTTCAACTTCCGGAAGCAAACTTCCCGATTTACTTTACTTTATTTCAACCCTAATTAAATAACAAGATTTTGACATTTTAATAATGAAAATAAAATAAAATTATAATAAATAATGTAATCTCTTACTTTACTAAGGTACAGAAATATTATTCAATAATTAAACTGGAAATTTAAACGTAATCGCAACGCAGACTTTTTTGTGGAAACACTTAATTTATGATGTAAAGTAATGTGTAATTTTCCTCGATTTTCCAACAGAGTGGTTGAGCAATTGTTATTGCAGCAGCCAGTATCGAACAACACTAACAGCGACATAGATAAGAGAGAGGGGAGAGAGAGTTAGTGTTTAGATTTGGAAGGAAGTCGTGTGTTCAGTATATAAAGTTCCCCGAGGCAAAAGGTAAGGTCTTGGAAGCTATGCGGTCAAGTAGAAACTGTGTCTTCGTTCACCGTATTCTTCGCTGATAATTAACACTGCCTTATAGTTTCCTTTCCAAAAGCTATTTGGAGTAAAGGAAGTGATAATGGTGTATTCTTTTGGTTATTGCAAACTTACTACTAAGCTTACCAAATAACCGGGTATATAGGTACCAGCAACATTTATATTGCATACTAGAGAACACTTTTATTGCGTCTTTATGCATATTATAGTTACATTACGGACGGAAACGGTGTTTTGTATTATAATTCTGTTTTTTTATGCGAATTTATAGTTCAATATGCCTGTATATAAGAAAAAATGTTTATGTTTATTTTTGCATTAACATCAGGTTATATAGAACTTTTATATAATTTCTACCTTTCTTTTAACAGTTTCATACAATTCTTGCTTTTTTTTATAGAGTTTTATTAAAAAGTAGTGTGTGTATTAATTTTAAGGCTGAGTAATTTAGTTTTGGTGTCAGTTTTATTGTAATAATTATGCTATATTTTACATATTATTTTATTATATTACCATTATAATTTGGTCTTTTAGGAACCTATAAATTTAAATCGTTACTTCTGTCATTGCCTTTCTCATGCTCTTTTTCTCTCTGCTTGCATGCTTCTTTTTGAAGAGTGGATTCAAGTGTATAATACCGAATTTCAATCTTTTAGATGTTTTTTTTACCGAATTTTTGAACCAAAATTTCCTTGGGGAACCAATCGGTCGTATGTGGCTTTTTGGTATAGTACGACTTTTTCGTGTCAATGTTTTTTTTTTTTGTAGATACTTGTTTTCTCGCATATCCCAAAACCTGATATCTGAACAAATTGGTTTTGGAAGCTACATAGTATATGTTATAATCGTTCGATTTCGATTATTTTCAGAACCAATGTGTAGTTCATTATTTAATATATGTGTAAAATATCAAACTAGATGGCGGCAGCGATAGCCGTGTGGTTAGCATTGGATGTTGCCATTCGGAAGGCTCAGGTTCAACATCCAAAAAAGTAATAAAAAATTAATTTAAATAAAAAATTAAGTTAAATCTTCTAATTGCGGTCGCCCCTCGGCAAACCCCTCCGAGTGTATTTCTGACATGAAATAAAGCTCCTCATAAAAACCATCAGCCATTCGGAGGCTGTTCTCTTAATTCCAACCTTTGCAGAGCTGCTGGAGGGTGAGGTGCGAGTGAGGAGCAATAATTAATTCTCATCACCTTTATCTATTTTCAGACAATGCGAATGACTTTGACGTACTCTACCCACTCATTTCCTTTTTGTGTGTCTTTTACATTTGTCATTTAGCTGAATCGCCTTATTGTCAGTCCTTTGAACCGGTGGCAACTAGTCTGTTATATGAACAAGTATTTAATTGCAAAAATTATGAAAATGGAGCAACCCGATTGCGAAAATTGAGTTTAATTCAGGGTCATCACGGAGTGGCTCGTAATAATCATACGCGCTGCTCATGAGATAGTTAAGAGGGATTAAAAAAGGTTCCTGTGATCTCTATTGAGAATGATGAGGTTAAATATCGACCCTTTCAATGCGGGCAGAATGTTCGTAGTAGCACTAAAATAATCTAGGATGTACCTACAGCATAAAAACCGAACTGTATTTCTCTCAAAGTATTATACTCAAACTTTATACTTTAAAAGTTCAAGTTTCACTTTTTCTATAATCCTTTAAAAAATGGTAATAAAACGAGTTTTGAAAAAAAAAATAGCTTGCTATATTCATACCCGACCTACCAGTCACTTATTTGCAATTCCAGAAACAAAATTAAAGTTTTAAAGTTTTATTTCAGAAGGCTTTATAACTTCTATGGCAATTTAAGTCCGGCTAGTTTTTTTTAACCATACATACAAACATATGAGGCTATATATATGCGTTTATGAAATAATTGACATGTTTACAGAAAATGTGTTAGACAACGGGTGAGATTGGTTTCACATCCCGTATATACTCTTCGAAATTTTTGTCATCTTGTAGCGAGGGGTCCATTTCATTTATTATCTGCGGTAAAATCGGATTATCTAGCATAGATGTATGATTTCCTTCAATTACTTTTAAAGTAACATTTCCAGTTGTAACTTTAGACAGACAATAGTCCTCTTCTATATCTTGTAATGATACTTCGGCAGGCCTTATTAGGGTGATAGGTGTCGTGAGTGATTCAATTTTATCTAAATCGAAGTTTGCCGCCATTTTTATGCGACGGAACATATCGTGAACCATTTTTTGTGAATATTCATTGCTATATAAATTTTGTTTCTTTACATATTCCATAAATTTCAGCATCTTATTATTCAGATTGTCTAGTTTAGCAAACTCTAACAAAACTGATTCCTGAGGCTCGTCTGGGAATATTTGCTTAACAATGTTAGAAAGAAGTAAATTGTATAAGTCGTTATCGGTGAAATCATCGCCCAAATGTGCCAGTGTTAATTTTTTTAGAAAATGTGGTGCACCATCGATTAGTAAGAGTTGGCCTCGGTAGCCGGTTTTTTCCAGCATTGCGGCCAATGCTATTGCGACAAATGATCCATATGAATATCCGATAATGTAAAAAGGGTGGTTAGATTTTAATTCCGCTTTGACATGCTGCAAATAATTAATAATGATAATTACATTTATTTCTAATCAGAAAATATAAAATATAAAAATATTTACTTCAAAACATGCTTCGGCTACTTCTTTGACTGTCGTACATTCGCCGAATCTGTGCAGTTGTAAAATGTTTGTGTTATTATTTATAGATGTTCCTATGTTGTACCATGCTTGTCCCGCAGTACCTTCTAAGCCAGGTATTATAATGTTCGGAGGCATGGATAGTTTTGTAGCATCAGCTGATGTTTTCAGTGGCATCATTATTTCATTACAACGAGTTTCATCGCCAAGATTTCTTATTAAAATCTGCATTCCCAAAAGATTACTATCTGAAACGAAAATCATTTTCACAACGTCCGTACTCTCTCTTTCTTTTGACTCTGCATATTCCTGTAATTTTTGGAATGTTAGCGAGCGTAAGTCTTGTGGCGTCAATATGAGATCAAAATCTCTTTCTAAGGTTTGTTTGATTTCCACTGCCATCAGAGAATCCATTCCCATTTCGGATAGGGTAGTACCCAGCGAAATCGATTTTAAATCACGAATTCCCATAATGTTCATAACAGTTTCGAGAATGCTTTCATTGCCTGAGCGACCGGCTCGTTTTTCAGCAACCACCATACTAGAGACCACCGGCTCAGGTGTAGTTAACAATGTATCCAATTCATATAAGCAAGACGAAATACGCTGCTGCAACGTTCCACCAATTTCCATGTCAATCTTATCTTCAGCCATATCTGCAACTAAACCAACCTCGCCTACCGCTCCCCATTGTATAGCCTTTCCAGGATAACCATTTCTAATCCGATCTTCAATTAAGCGCTCCATAATTGAATTTGCCATACCATAATTTGTTTGTCCAGCATTGCCTCGACCACAGGAAACACTCGAAAATACAACAAAGTGTTCCAGATAAGGACAATGCAAACGAGATAACTGATCTAAATATTTTGTTGCTGTAGCCTTGGGAGCAAAACTTTCAAAAAATTTCTCTTTTGTTTGATTCGTGAATAGTCCATCTCTTAAAATTACAGCTAAATTAAATATTCCTCCAACTGGTGCCACACTTGCCGCCAAGGTCAGCAAGGCCATACATCCCTCAAGTGTGCTTATGTCAAACGTACTAACAACTATTTCACATCCATAAGTTTTCCATAAACTACAAATAAATATAATAAATCAAATGCATTGAAAAATAATTCATATAACTTACGCTATTCTGTATGCTTGATAATCCTTTGATACACCCCGACTTGAGCTAATAATTAATTTTCGAGCTCCTCGTAGTGCCATCCAATCAATTAACTCCAAGCCAAACCCTCCTAGACCTCCGGGTATGATGTAGGAAACGTTTGGTTTAAAATATACTTGGTGTAAAACTTTAAGGGGTAGTGTCGCTAAAGATTCAGGATTATCTCGGACCTGTATTAAAGCCTTTCCTATATGTTTGCCTCCTATAAGATGCCTAAATGCTTGCTCTATTTCGTTGGCAGGGAAAATCGTGGATGGTAGAGGTTGTATAACGCCGTTTTCAATACCTTCGTCGACCATACGTTTTAAATACTGCAGGTAGAATATCAAAATATAGTATTTTAAAATAATATTGTTCACAATTTCATGAATAAATGAGTTTGAAGTTGTTCAGTAGTTTTGCTAACTACTAATAATTCTTAATTTGATATAACTGTACATACATGAATTTGCTTCAGTTTAGTCAATCACTTTTTTTTTGCATATTTACCTGGATATCCTCATCTGAAGCGAATTCTAGCCGGTCAGCTAGAACTGCGTGGAATGTAATTTCTTTGAGAAAACAACTCATTCCAATTTTAGTATCATTGGACATATCGAATTTTCCAATTTCTAAGAAATGACCACCTTGGCCCAAACAACGTACTGATGCCAACAATTTGTCTTCAGCTAAAGAGTTTAGCACAAAATCAACACCCTTGCCGTTAGTTTCACGTTGTATCATGGTTTCGAACGATATATCACGAGAATTGCCGATGTGACTTTCTAAAAATTTATTGAATAAATATTATTTTATTTAAAAAGCAAATATATGCAATTTATTTTAAATGCACATATGTTCGTTTGAAAAATAAATTAACTGGGCCATGTTTTATAGAAAACTTAAGTGTACGAATATATATATGTAAATATGTGTGATCTCATAAATACCTTTTAATTTTGGAAACGTTTTTAATAAAAACTGCTTTTTTTGCTCGGTACTGCAAGTTGTAAAAACTTCAAGTTGGTATGCCAATGCGACTCGTATGGCCGCCAGACCAATTCCACCAGTTCCAGCATGAATAAGAATACTTTTTCCTTTACGTATGTCGGTTTTCATAAAGAACGCATAATATACAGTGATGTAAACAACTGGCACAGTAGCAGCTTCTTCTAGGGTCCAGTGGTTTGGAACATCCCACATAAATTTGGACGGTCGTTCGTTATACGATGCCACTCCTGCTTTTGCAACCATGCTCATAACGCGCTTACCAGTTTTGGTATTAATTCCAGAGAATTCCAAGCCCAATACACACAACTGATCAAGGCGACTACTACCGTATAACTCAACAGCCAAACGACCAGTAGCTAACATAACGTCCCTGAAATTAAGCGACGAGTAAACAATTCGAACAGAGCATTCATTAGTGTCCAAAGGTCCTTTCAACCACCGTAAGGTTGATAAATCGCCTCGTTGCATAACATTTCCATAAACATGATCTGTCCTTGGGCCTGTAGGTGCCTCATTTTGTAACAATAAATGTCTGTACGATCCCCATTTACCCTAATTGACGTAATTATTTAAGTTTAAGCAATTATATTTTTATATATTATATTTTCTTGATATATTTCTAGATAATGGAAATATGTACATACCTGCCGGTAGACATTAATTGCAAGTCCCAAAGCAAATTGGCTACTGTAAAATGAGTTAGTCAAATCAAAAGGTGGTGCATTAGTATCATCTATGTAAAAGCACGTAACTAAGTGTCCATCCGGCTCTTTACGCAAGCAGTTCACAAGCCCAATAATTCCATTTGTATATTCATTAAAAGAATAAAGGACAATGGGAGTTTTGTTGTTAAGACCAGTTTGAATTTCTGTTATCCATTTCAATTCATCGTCTTTTTCAGAAATTCTCACAACTAGTGGATTCAATGTGAGTCTCTTAGTGATCTTTTGCAATAATATCATTTGCTCATCATCTTTTATGTGGAGAGTTGTTATTATATTAAAATTTTCAAAAGATTTTAGGCTGCTCGTGTTTATGAAATTTTTTTCCCTGGAAAGTAAATACCCATTTTCAACCAAACATTTATATGCTGTCATAGCTGTAGCATCGTCTTGTTTATTAAACAAGTCATTGACAACAATAAAGTGACAATTAGTTTGATTGGTATATTTAGCGTTTTCTATATGAACTCCAGCAATATCATCGATAGGTTGATCTGTGAATAATAAATAATCACCCGTTATCAAAGGCAAATCTTCTATTGCTTCAATGAATTTTGGCACAACTGGTTCTCTATCTTGTGAGCCTACTTCGAGAATCTTCATTTTTAGCACCGGAGTATTTTCCAAGGCTAACTGGACGCACATACGAACAGCTTCTGTTTCACCCAGAGTAACTGTTGCAGAATAAGGTAAAAATTGATATTGCTCAAGTACAGGTATTCCTGGAGCCTTGCGACGTTGTACCGGACTGGCATGAAGCCCAATCAATTCAATACCGCCAGCAACTATACGGTCATATTCGCGTTCAACATACACATCAAAAACTCTATTTTCCGGATCCATTTTAGTCATTAGATCAAAATGATGAGGACCGTAAATTTTTAGCTTTCGTATTTTTGTGGGTATGAGCAGAGTACGGGAATCAGTTCCCAAAATTTGGATTTGTAACATGGCATCCATAAATGTTACCCAATTATATTTCCATTCAACCTTTCCATATAACCCATCTCCACGAGCTAAGGTTACTGCACGGAAGGCCCCATTATAGTGATAACCTCTTAACCTGAGTTCCTTATAAAAGTCTTTCCGGGATAAAATTGGGAATTCAGATTTTTCATTTGTAGCATTAACACATGGTACTGTTGGATTTTCTATTTCACGTATTACCCCTGTCACAACTAAATTTCCGGACTCAGTGATCTTAATAAAATATAGAATAAAACGAAATTATTAAATACACTTGAAAGCAATAGTATTAAGCACTTACTTCAAATTGACCTGTTCCGTAATGAATCATGACATTTAGTTCAACATTTCCATTCAATGACATATTTGTTGCTCGTAAGAATCTTACATCTTCGAATTCAACCGGAACGTCCATATAACTTGGACCGTGGTACATCAAAGAAAAGGTTTCCCATACATACTGAAGATAACATGTTGCTGGAATCAATATTTTGCCATCAATAACATGACCGCTCATAAATTCCTCATTATCGCTGGTTAAGTTTATTTTAAATAATCGTTCTCCACTCGATTTCGTTTTCATGTTCTCATACTTCGTAACAAACCAGTCTTCAGTGTGATCCCAACGTATGAGTGAACTGATACCAGGTGTACCTTTTGATACTGGGAATTCAATTTCTGAATATAATGGTGCTACTGGAAAGGTAAGCCCATTGCTGAACAACCTATAAGAAAGACATATTTTAATTTATAAATAATTGCTTATCAATTGATTAACTTACTTTCCCAATGCGGTTAGCAAAAACAACGTGTTATTTTTATTGTTACGTTGGGTGAGTGGAATGTGAATACCCTTTGGCATAGAACGCTTTATAATTGCTTGCAATAATCCATGGGGTGCAATTTCAATAGTTAGGGCATTTTTGGGTAACATATCAAATGTGTCTTCAAATAAAACACTATTTAAAAGGTTATTGGCATGGTATTCTGCTGAGCACATATTACGACCTAATTGTTCCCAATCGTGTTTTGGTACACTGGTACTTAACCATTTAGAACTTCTGGGCTTTGGGTTTGGAATTATTTGTCGCAAATATTTCAAAAAATCAGGACCCATTTGAGCTATGTAGCGAGAATGGTATGCAATATTTGAACATGGAACTTCCTTGGCAAAAATGTCTTTAGCTTTCAACTCGGCCACAAATTTTTCAATATCCTCAGCTGGGCCTGAAATTGTGCACGAGTCCGCGCTGTTCCGACAAGCTACTTCTATGGTATCGGGAATTATATTAATTATCTTTTTATAACCCATTCCTACTGCTGCCATAGAGCCTTTTATTTTTTCAATTTCCAAACTTACTTTACCACGATAATATGCAGCAAGAATCATTTGTTCTGCAGTAAAGCAGTCGTCAGCATAGCCGCATCCTAATTCTCCTACTGAATGGCCAATTATATAATCGGGTTCAATCTTTAGAGAACGTAGGAGATCAACTAAGGCAATTTGAATAGCAGCGATGCCAACGAAGGAGTGTAATATGTTGTCAAATGTAGTTGGATTTGAAGATGTAAGTATGTTCATTAAATCAAGTCCTTTAGATTGTAAAACGTAATGGCTTTTTTCAATGGATTTCATGAAAGTAGGGATCTGTAGCAGTGATGTGCCCATTTCAGTCCACTGTGATCCCATTCCACTAAATACCCACACAATAGGTCGCTTTATACCAGTGAAGTGCTGGACGTCTCTAGTGAGCGTTTTTACTTGATCAGTTCCATTTTTGGCGTAAATAGCATATCCTCGAAATACCATACCAGATACTTCATCTTTTTGAATATTATGTAATAGCGCGAAAAATTCAGCATCCAATGCCTTACGTTCCACTGTATTAAAAATATGATTAACAGAGTCCTCAGTTCTTCCAGCCCATGTTAATAACCTTGGTATATCATCGTTTGGAAGGCCATTGTCAATTTTAACTTTATCGAAAGCTTTTAATAGTGCATGAGCATTGGCTCCACCAAAACCAAAAGAATTTACTCCAATGAAAGGCTTCTTGAGCTCTACGACATCTTTTACTACAACTAACCGCCCTTCTGATAATGCGGTAATTTCAGGTTTTACCTCTGTGAAGTTTATATTCGGAGCAATTTTTCCAGTTTCAAACGCGAAACAAGCTTTTACTAAGGAACAAATGCCGGAAGCCGCTTCCGAATGACCTATATTAGATTTTACTGAACCAACCAGCAGTGGTTCCTTACGCTGACTACATAGTATACTATCAATCGCTCGACACTCTTCCGGATCTCCAACGACCGTTCCAGTGCTATGAGCCTCCAAGTATCCTAAGTCATTGGGTTTAACATCAATTTCGTTATAAAATTCAGCTATAAGCTGTTCCTGAAGTTTTCCAGATGGATATGTGATGCCTTCAGGCTTATATCCGTCGCAATTAGTTTTAGAATAAACTACAGTTGCATATACACGTTTAGCATCCCGTTTACGTTGCAAGAATAGACAATTTATAGATTCTGAGCGAGTATATCCATTCGCACTCTTATCGAAAGGGCGACAATAGCCATTAGGTGCAAGAACACCTAGTCTAGAGAGTATAAAAATAGTACACAAACAAGGTACGTGGGTGAATTTAGAAGCAGTTATTATTGGTATACCATAAATACGCTAACATTTTTATATACCTGGCAAACTGAAGTGTCACGAATGGATGCAATATTAAATTCGATCCACCAATGATAGCTGCGTCTATTTCACCATTTCGCAATGCTGAAAAAGCATTGTCCAAAGCATACATTGAACTGGAACAAGCAGTATCCAATAAAAAAGAAGGACCCTGCAAACCCAAGCAATAAGAAATTCTATTTGCCATCATTGCTCGGCTGCAACCAGTTATACCAAATCCACCAGATGAAACTTTCTCATAAAACCAAGTCTTCTCCGATTCGGAGATACATGAACCAATATAAACACCGGTTTTTGTACCACGTAGACTCTTCGGATTTATGCCGGCATCTATAACAGCTTCGTAAGCAGTCTCGATTAAAATTCGTGTTTGAGGGTCCATTGTATGAGCTTGTTTAAAGTGAACACCGAAAAATGTGGCATCGAACTTTTCCAAATCGTGAATTTTTCCTGATCTTTTCGGAATTTCAGGATTAAAATGACGCCAGCGCCGTTCATCGTCATCCACCATATCAATCTGTAATGTGAAAGATTTTCTCTTATTAAATTATTACTCAATTTTTAAGGTACTTATTATGCTATTGTCCAATACCCCTCACAGCATAGTCGCAGTGAAGGTTTATAGAATACAAGGTTACAACAAGTGCAAAACCATATTTTTAATGACGAAGTTGGTTCACTTTTGTGGGCTGACGAAGATTTTAAAATAAATTATCTTAATTTTATCTATAAAACATCTTAACATTTGGACTATAAAATTATAAAATTAAAACGATCTGAATAGGTTTATGTCGAACAAATGTATTTCTGTTTTCAAAAATTTTTAAATTATAAATTTTAATATAATTTTTTAACAAAATGGCATGATAAAATAATTCCAAAAACTTTATAAGTTATCAAAATTCAAAGCGATTTCGCTATATTATGAAATTTTGAATATGATAAAATTTTTCTGATTGCAATAGATATATTTTTAATTTATTTGAGTGGAAAGTAAAGGGATTCCAGAAAAATAAAATTTAAAATACTACTACATTATAAAATCACGCAGAATTATTTTGATTATTATAAAAAAAAAATTATGATATTTCAAATAAGTTTTTTTTACATCAAATCAAGTACATACCATATAACGAATATATATAAGTACATATATGCGAAAATTACAATGATTTGAAGAAATTAGTAGCTGGTAAAAAAGAGATTCGAGCATTGTCAATTGCGGTTTCGTTTGTTTTCAAATGTAGATTCAACGTTTTAAATAAATTCCCAATTTTATACAATGCTGTTACTATAAGTATACGACAAATTTTAAGTTACTTCTTGATCAAGTGGTTGCAGTTTGAAGATCATATTCAGTGGAAGAAACACCAACACAGGTTTAGATCCAAAAACTTTCATAATCATCCTTTCCTTGGAATCAACGAGTAACTCCAATTGCTGTTGTTGTGCGATCCTGTTTACATAATTTCACGTTGATAAATTTTAATTTATTTTCTCTTTGTTTAGTTATACTTTTCTCTTGAAATTGACTTGCAATCATACCCACTTTGTAACTTCCCTTTCGGTTCTGAAGTTGAAGTGAGCTTAAGCAATTACTAAGGCTGTAGCGAAATCTGTCTAAAAGAATTAAGTTTCAAATCAAAGTTTATATTTTTTTTTTTTTTTTTTTTTTTTTTTTGAGTAAAGGAAAATAATGAATATTCCGATTTTTGAAGAAATAGAAAGAGTTTTCAACATATTAAACGATTCACGCTGGCTGAGAGTGTCAAAAAGGTATGTATTAGGAGGGTTTTGTTCCATGAGTGAAACTGATTTCTACAACCGTTTTGGGTTAGACAAAGCAACAGTTCCATTTTTTCATATTTTGGGCAATCTATAAATAACAGAGGTGATATTAGAAATTTCCACTTCCAGATCATTGACTATTGACAATTGACTATTTTATAGGGGATTTGCATGGGTTATACCAATCCAATCCAGTTGGAAGAATTACTAAAAATAGGGGTTCTTTTGCAAAGGTACTTCCAAGCAACAGTGAACTGAATAAAGTGAAAAACAAATTTTACCAAAGATTGATTGCACCCACTTTCGGATGAAATGACCTTCGAGTAAGAGGAATTACTGCTGAATCTTAAGAAATTATTCTTATGACCTAGAGAAATCTTTATGGAGATTGTATGGGTTGCTGATTTTAAAGTAATGGTTATCGTGGCAAGCTACAAGACAAGTTTGGAGAAACGATAAAAAGATTGGGATATCAAGAGTTAAATTGATATTTTTTGAATTACCGACATTTGAGGCAGCGTTATTTAATAAGCCACGCCACGTCAACTTTGTTTTTGGTAGCCATCACTGCGGCTTTTTATGTATTTTGTTTTAATTTTATATATGTCAAAAATTGAGATTTTCTATCCCTGTCTAGAAAACAACGGTCATGATGTATTTAAACGTTAAAAAAAGAAACAATTAGAAGTAAATGCTGCACTGCGTCTGAAATCGTGAATAAAAAGAAAGCTGAAATATTTATTTGTTTTGTTTAATTTCTGTTTTTTGCGTACGCATTTTTTAAATATCTAAGCCAAACAAAGATGAACGAAATTTCTGTTGGACTCAGGACAGGTAATATTTCTGACCAAGTATTATATCTGCAATGAATATAAAAATGCCACAAGTCCTTACATAAAATATTATGTAAGTGATTTTGTTAAATAATTGTACAAAATTTTCGAATTGCATTAAACTGATTAAATCATACAAATTTACGTGGGAGAGTCCATATTGTTTCTTACTAAGCCGCTTCCTAACGGTTGCAGGCTTTAAGTTTTTTTTTAAGAAGCGATTTGATTTCATGACAGAAATACACTCGGAGCGCTTTACATTCCCTACCGAGAGACGACCACAATTAGAAAAATTAATTTAATTATTTATAATTTACTTAAATTAGCAAATATGTAGTCGTTGCGTAAAAGTGAATAAAAAAAAACAAAGATGAAACAAAATTAGAAACAAACAGTTAAACGTAGTAGGGGAGAAAAAATATAACAACAACAAAAATAAACTTGCATAGCAAGCAAACGATGGGTATAAAAAAATAACAAAAAAAATAAAAAAGAAAAATAATAGGGAACTAAATATTATTTAGAGAAATAATAATATTAATTAATTTACGTTTATATCAGTGCTTAGCGCCCACTTCAAATAGAGCGAAGGCACTCCGTCCAATCGTTTAGCTAACTCAACCCATACATACAGAAAATCAAGCCCGATCAAAATTTTAAGTACTAAATAGTTCTTTATATTAAGAAATCAAACACACACAATGCTACTTAAGAAACTGCAACTTCACTAGCCAGAAATTGGTTTGCGGCACTCAGTAAGGAAAGTGGTTGAAAGCTGGACTGGCTATCTTCTTCTGATAGCCTATAAGTCGGATTTGTGCTCATCTTTTTTCAGTCATGCTTCGCATGGTAGTACACACAACTAACCACTCCCATGATATGGAGAAATTATTTATGAATTTTACATTAAACTTAATACATGCGATAAGTGAGTTACTCAAAATCAAACTTTGGAAATTATATGTACATAATTTGATAAATAATAAATTGGACATGTCTTTCACTTGAGATATTTTTTTTTTGTTTTTTACATGCCCGTAGGACACCGTGAACGATACATATAGTAAAACCCAAAAGGTTCACACATTGTAATTTTAAAAAATTATTATTTCACAGTACTACTGAAATGTTGTTAATTTGAGCAAGGTTTTTTTTTAATCTAATTTTCTATTAAAAGATTCAAGTTGTATTTGAGTTTTCTTGTTTCGTTATATTTTTAACAAATGTCATTTTTTGTGTACACTGTTCGATTTAATTTTTTGTTATTAATGCGATCACTAATATATCATGTAAGCACCTTATTGTATAGGTTGTACTCGTACTCCTCAATATTATGTGAGTTTGGAAATTTTCCGGCCATTCCGGATATAACAATTTCATCGCCATCAGTTTCAGGAAATGATCTTGATAACTTTTTATACTTTTTCATTTCGTTTTTCGAATGAGTATTTTCTGATTGTTGTGTATCCTTGCTATTTGACATTATTTCAAAATTTATTTGGTTCGATAAGAATTTTACGCACTAAATTCAACGGTTTTCGGGGTTTTTATAAAGACACAACGACCGGATACACACAAATTGCCAACCAAATAGCAATTGCTTAAGCCTCAAATTTTCAAGCTACTTTTATAATATTACCTGACTATACATGCATTTACTTACATTTACATACTTACATATGTGCATCTATATGGGTTATTCACTTAGGCGGGGTTAGACGAATACGAAGAATAATTTGTTGGTGGGGGTTTGTTCTACGAATTCAATGGGTTCAACAAATCAACATTTAAATTAAAATCTATTTATTAGCAAATAAATTACTATGTGCATAAGAATACACCAATTTAAGTACATATGTACATATGCACATGATGAAAATGTCCATTCATTGCTTATGCATATGGAGACTATGTTCGTTGACCCTAAGTATTGTTAATCGAAAGTGTTGTTTAATTCGATTTTGTATATTTCCAGTAAAGAAGAATTGTGAGCATAGATCTATATACATACATATATATATATATATATATATATATATATACAAAAAAAAACAATACGAAAAAGGCTTTTTTTAGAAATCGGTGAATTCTCCTTAGACTATTTTATAAGTATGACAGTTTAAGGTTTTATTAAATATATACATATACATACATATATATCCAGCCATGTATCCTTTACGTAAAGTAAAAACTTTAATTTACTCAATCGCATGATTTTCGGAATTTAAGTATTTAAGAAAAAGATAAAACGTGAGCCATGAAGCGAGTTAGTACAGTGTTTCCCATTTAATTGATCTTGTCACTAAGGTTGAATTGGACGTTCAGGTGCAGTGGCTTGTGAGACAAATAAATAGATCATTTTCTTTGTAGGATTGTTGGTTTTTGTCGCAAAATTTGATTTAAATTATGGAAATAAGGCGAACCAAACCAAAATAGCTAGAAGGACGTGAAGAGCTCTGTCTGTCCACCTGCCAGTTTCTATATACAATATTTTACTGCAATGAGGATGGGGCCATGTGTAGAACTTCAAGCAAGTGAGGAAAGCTTTTGACTGCCATTCACTTCAGAGTTCGAGTCCTGGTGGTAGTGGCCAGAAACGGTTCTTTTGCATGTGGTTCAAGCAGCTCACGACTTCCGGTCTTAGACCAAGTATCCCCTGTGTAGCCAACAAACATCCGCTTGGAGGCGAATCCCATGCGGTTAAGCGCCCACCACATGAAAATAGGCTTCAATGAAAAATTATATTATGCCTCGGATGAGAGACCCAAATGTTTTAAGGAATATGATTTGAGCGCATGCACCTGGAATGTGCCGTCCTTTAATTGGGAAGGTGCCGCTGTCCAGCTGGTTGATGCTCCGCCGTCCAAGAAATGCGATGGACGGGACAAGGACTGAAGAGGGTGGGCTTTTGTGAAATTTACTACAACGGCGCGGAAAGACTCCGCCGCCGAGAAAAAAAGCATTCACACCGGTGGATGAACGTATCGCCACGCCCACGTTGAGGTTGATCGAATTCGCCGGGGTCCGAAATATGGTTGTCTGTAGCACTAGACTCCAACACAAGAAGATTCAACAAACTAGTTGGCTGTCCCCTGGTCGAAAACACAAAACCAGATTGATCATGTTGTGATAGACGGAAGAGTGTTCTTGACGTGCGCACTTTCCAAGGCCCCAACATCAACTCGGATCACTATCTTGTCGTAGCGAAATTACGTACCCGCCTATGTGCATCGAAGAACGCCCGTCAATAAACACCAGCAGACTGCTGAACGGTTTTCTATTCGACTGACACACCTGCTCTCTGAGAGCACTCATCAGAAACCCGGCAAAAGGGAACTGTGGAATCGCATTTCAAACTCCTACGTACAGCTGCAACCGAAACTACTGGATTTTGTAAAGCTCGCAAAAACAGCTGGTACGACGAGAAATGCCGTGTCGTGGTGGCGAGAAAACACCTTGCGATCGTCCACAACACGTGCGTCATGGGACAGATACCGAGAGATGAAGAGGGGAGCAAGAGGCATTTGCAGACAAAAAAAGAAAGAAGCCGACATGCGTGAGTATGAAGAGCTTGAGAAGCTGGCCGACAACGGTAATACTCGAAAATTCTACGAGAAGATACGACGACTTTCAGAGACTCTTGTAGGACACAAAGAGGCGATCTAGCCACCGATGCCCAGAGTATATTAAATTTATGGAGGGAACACTTTTCTAACCTGCTAAAGAGTAGTGAAACTGGAGAATCCGGAGATGGTGAGCCCGAAGCCCCAATCGAAAACACGTTCCATTACCTGACCATGAAGAAGTTCGAATAGCAATCGCCCGCTTAAAAAATAATAAAGCGGCCGGAGCTGACGGCCTACCGGTAGAACTATTCAAACATAGCGCTGAAGAACTGACAAGGTGCATGTAACAGCTTGTTTGCAAAATATGGTCCGATGAAAGCATGCACGACGATTGAAACCTAAATGTACTCTGCTCAATTCACAAAAAGGGTGATCCCACATCCTGCGCCAACTATCGTGGGATAAGTCTCCTTAACATCACAAAACGTCCTATCGAGTGTTTTGTGTGAAAGACTAAAGCCCTCCGTCAACAAACTGATTGAACCTCATCAGTGAAGCTTTAGACCTGGTAGTCAACCATTGACCAGATATTCACCATGCAGCAAATCTTAACCTTACCGTCGATTTTAAAGCAGCCTTCGACAGCACGAATAAGAGCTGAATCTATGCCGCTATCTCTGAATTTGGTATCCCCTTAAAACTTATACGGCTGTATAAACTGACGCTAGACAACGCCAGAAGCCCAGTCAGCATTGAGAAGGACCTTTCCGAGCCGTTCGATACCAAACGAGGTTTCAGACAGGGTGACTATTTGTCGTGTGATATCTTCCATTTGATGCTGGAGATAATAATAAGAGCTGCCGAGCTGAATAGAGAAGGCGCAATCTTCAATAAAAGTGTACAACTACTGGCGTACGCTGATGATTATTAACATTATCGGCCTCAACAACCGCGTCATTAGCTATGCTTTCTCTAGGGTTGATAAAAAAGCGAAGTTAAGACGAAGACGACAAGACGAAATATCTTCTCTCATCATACAAACAGTCATCGCTTCCACTTCACTGTTGACAGTCATAACTCTGAAGTCGTAGATAATTTCGTCTAGGTTCCTAGACCAACAACAACAAGACCAATAATAATGTCAGCCTTAAAATCCAACGCAGAATCACCCTTGCCAACAAGTGCTATTTTGGACTGAGTAGGCAATTGAAAAGTAAATTCCTCTCTCGGAGAACTATATGTACATACATGAGTTTGCAGTGAAAAATATATAAAAAAATATTGCTTATTAGCTTAAATTTTAACTATATTCAGAAAAAAATAAATTGGAAAATCTGGATGATAGGAATGTGGACAATGCAGGGTTAAGCTGTTATTGTGATAACCAAAAAATTTTTTTTTCGCATCTGCCAATTTCGATTTTTTTATTTTTGTCTGAATTATCAAACCTATTATTAAATTCTGTCTTTTATTTTATATAAATTTTAAGTAGTTGCTATTTGGTGCTGTAAAGAGAAATGCAAGCTATAAGTTTCTTCGCTCAAATTCTCTAATACGTTCCATGAAACCATCCTGACTTATTATTGGTTGTGTAACTGATTGGCACATAATAATTTTAACTCTGTTGTTTATATTTTTTGGTGAGAACATTTTTTTTTATATTTAAAAAATGTGCGGCTAGCATTTAAAATTTCAATATTTATGTGATCGTTATAGTACAAAAATTTGTCTAAAGTTATTCTAAGGTATTTAACTTTGTCAGTTACGGTAATTAAATCATTTGATTCTCTTACTTTGATACCAAACTGTAATATATTGTTGTATTATTCGATTAGTTATCAATCACCAACAATTTTTTTAATAGTGAAAAATGTTTAAGCAGGATTAAGCTTCGGGCTCAACATATATGTATATTCATAATACTCAGTTCATTCAAATTAACCAGGCCTTTAGCCAACTAAAGAAAAAAAAACTTATAACAATAATTAATAGTATATTTCGAAGCCTTGAGAAGTGAAAAAAGTACACTCAAAATGCATATTTTGATTTCTCGCCGGCTTTTCAAAACTTTTGAATATACGAATTTTTCATCTTTTCTTCATCAAATTGGTGATTTTCATGTGAGTAATAAATAATAGGCGAGTGCTTAGCATTGCGTAATTCATTCAGAAGGTCAGAGTTCGAGTCTTGGACCGACCGACTACTGAAAATTATCGAAATTTAAAAAACCATCAGCCGTTCGGATGCGGCTTAGCAGAAACTGTAGGTCCCTTTATTTGTTGGAAAAACATTGAGACGCACACCACAATTGAAGGGGGTGCACGCTCGAAACTCGCTAATAAAAATCAAGTTGAAAAATGAATTTGTTTGATTTTTTTCATTTTGCAAACAATTAACTGACATACTGTACATATGTATCTCGCTTATCGAAAATTTCATTCTTATGAAATCAATTAAATTGGTACTACAAGATCTTCCCTTATAAGGGTAATTTTGTAATTTATAAATTTTACGAGGGGCGGCTCTAATATTTTCTATTTTTCAATTCAATTCTCTCAAGTGAAATACACTTTTCACATTGTGAATACAATGCCTTTATAGCACTAAAAAATATTCTTTAGATTTCTCTTCAAAATGGAAAAAGTCACTGGGAGACAGGTCCGGTCTGTAGGCGGGATCTTCAATTTCTGTAAATCCAGTAGCTTTTTGGGCATCCTTGGCAGCCCGAGCGGTGAACCCGGGTGCGTTGTCTTGAAGAAGCAGCACTCCGAGCGCTAATTTCCCACGTCTCTTTTATACGACTCATTTCATTGTAGTTAATTTATTGAAAGAACTTATCGTTTGATACTTTTATAACCAGCAGTGTACTATCTGCTATTTTATTGATATGATTAATAATCCATTATATGTTATGATAATTATACAAATTGCAATCAATGTTGATAGAGCTTTTTCAGAGATCCAGCTAAACGGCCTGGAAAACTTAACATTCAAAGAGAAATTCTTTGTGATATT